AGATGAGTATAAACATAATAAACACAATTAAATTCCACCATTTCCCATGAGTCAAAGACATGTTCTAATACTTGATATCGCAATTACTTAACTTAGTCTCAAGGAGGTAGGCCCAATGTGCTATTCAATACAATGCAAGATCTCTCTTTGTAGCATTTATAAGGACAGATCAGTAAAAAAAAAATCCTGGTGGAGCATACCTCGTCTCTAATTGCAAACCAGCCTGCCAAATTTTTGACTGGAGCAAGGTGGGGGTCACATTTTTAACGACATTTTTAATTAAGCGGACTCCCGTTTCATTGAAAATCGTCACATTTTTAAGCACATAAAATTTCCAAACTGTCCTTATTTGACAATCTACTATTTGGATATATATAAACATCGTGATTTCCATTAAGTTCGAATCATTTGAACATGTAAAAATGTCACAAAATTTAATTCCACCATTTCCCCCGCAAAAGAGCGGTGAAGTCAATAGACACTCATTGGTTCTATATATGGAGTCATTGGAATACATCCTTAATTTAGCTAGTCCAGTTTTTAGTAAACAAGCTATAATCCATATCGAGTTTGGTGATATGGTCATTGTCCATTGCAAGAATTCTGTTCCAGTATCAAACCAAATTCATCCAGCATTGAAAGTAGCTAGGAATCCAACCAATATCTCTGTATAGAGCAATTCTGGGCGCAAAGTGATGCTCTCCCAAAATATATCAAATTTCATGGTTTTGGATTTTTTCAAAGGTCTGGAATTTTTTGTATCCCCATACTCCCGACGCATAATCCAGAACGGGAACTACACAGCAGTAATATATAGAACTGCTCATAAGCTTTATTCCAAAATCTTTATTGGTATGTTTTTTGGAGATTATCTTCCCAAAAGCTCTTCCTCCAGCCTTTGAAAGAATTTCTGCATTCTCTGTGAAGTTTCAGCTGTAACTGAACGTTACACCTAAGTATTTGTATTGGTCAACTATCACCAATCTATTTTTGCCAATAACAAATTCAAATGTTGTCCATTTTGATCTCACTTTCCTGAAATGAAGGCACTTTGATTTATCAGTGTTGTTCAATACTCTCCATCTCCTGCACCACTGATGAAGCATACACTGGAGATCTTCTGGACTTTTGGCCAAAAAGGCGATATCATCCACATAAAGTCATACAGACATTTCCCTTTCAGGCAGGTCTATTCCAAGGTCAAGATCATTGATTTCCTTCAAGAGATCGTTTATAAACATTGAGAAAAGTGTTGATGATAGATGATCTCCCTGCTTTACGCCTGTTTTACAGTAGAGCCACAGTGTAAGTTTTCCGTTCAATCAAATACAGGCTTCTGAGGACTGGTATATATATACACTGGATTAAATTATAAATTTTACCATCCACACCATGTAACAAGAGTTTGTATAACATCATGTTTCTGTCTATAAAGTCAAAACACTTCTTCAAAACAATAAACACTACAAATAGTGATTGACTATTTCTAATTACAATGTTTAGAGTGAAAATATCATCCTCACATGATCTTTGTCTCCGAAAACCATCTTGCTCATATGAAATAACTTCATGGTTTTCAAGAAAGTTCATTAAAGCACAATACAGTTTACTAATACACAATAGTAAACTAATCCCTGTGTAGTTCATGATGCCAGGTAGCCAGGCATCACGATGTGAGAAGAGATCTTTAATGATAGGACTGTAATGGTTTGGGCTGTGGATATCGGCCTAGATAGCTCAGTTGGTAGAGCACCTGACTGGAGATACAGGGGTCCTGGGTTCGATTCCCGTTCCAACCATACATTTTCACCTTTCCTGTTACAGGACTGTGGGACATATAACACTATAGCTGAGGATGATTCCACATGTCCAAGTTTCATCTTTCCATGCCCAGTAAATTTTTAAAATATGCCATCGGAAGAGGGTGTGGCCCTTCATTTGAACAAATATTGAATCCCCTTCACCCAAGGATACATGTACTCTGTGCATGGCAAGTTTGTTTCAGATTGGCCCAGTGGTTCTCCAGAAGAAGTTGAAAATGTTACAGAAGTTTACAGACAGACGCACAGACAGACAGACAGAGGGACGCCGGCCGGACAAAATGCTATCAGAAAAGCTCACTTGATCGAACCTTTGGTTTAGGAGTCAGGTTAGCTAAAAATACATCCCCCCTTTCATCTGGCAACCAAAATTGTTTCTTACGGGCCTGAAGATCACTAGCTTTTAACAATTACATTCCACACATCTCCGTACTTAAAACATTGATGGATGAGTAAACAATAAGTTTTAAAAAAGTTTGCATTGTACATTCGTTTACCATGTTTACCTTTTTTTGCTTTTACTTTATTTACCCGCCACGACTGCATGCCTGCAAATCACCTACCGATCCCGATGTAAAATATTTAGCAGACGTCTTGTAACGTACGTGCACGTCGCGCATAGGGGGTTATTGTAACACTAAAAGACGGGCGCTTGTAAATTTTTATTCGTTTCGGTTGCACGAATTTTCAGACCAATTTGCACACCTTCTATAACGTCCACTCCTGTGATGGAGTCATGCAAATCTTATTCATAATTTTCTAATTTCTTGCCGATTCATACTGTTTGTAAAAATGGTAGCATTCCGTATAATATGCCGTGAATTTCATTTTGACAAGTAGGCCTAACAGGAACTTTGGAATGTTTGGTAAATAATTGCTACTGTGTAGCGAATTTTGGCAGGTAAAATTAAAATTATATTTTAATTTTAAATGTTTGTTATGCGATATATATCAAATATTATGAATTTTTTTTTACAAGTTAGCAAAGAAATAAGAAATGTTTTTTAAATGATTTTTAAGAAATACACAAATCACTTTATTCAAAAAGTTAATAGCAAGTATTTGCAGTAAAGCATGGAGAGATTTTTATATACATGTAGTGAATTTGAATCAGTATCATGATGATGTGTCACCATTTTTTTTAAAATTTGTTTATAAGGCAACACAAGTATGCAAAAAAGTATGGTATTTTTACAAAGGTCCTTATATCATAAATCTAAGCTCTAGGCCTATATATTCTTTTTTAAAGTATTGTTACAGAAAATCCTATTTTTACATAAAGATTTATATCAAGAAATACTATCTACTGTATTTCTATCCCCCCTTTTTTTCCAATCAAATATTTTTTTGCTAAATTATGTGGTAGCTGCAATTTGCTTTTTATTTATAGCTTCCTGGTCTGTCAAAAAATAATTTTTGATAATTAATTAATAATTACTTAATGTTTCAGAGAACTATAAATTTCTAATATGAAAATACTGAATTTATTTTTGAGAGGTTTGTAGTTCCCTATAAAAATAAAATGGCAAAAAAAAAATAATGAATTATTTCTTGCGTAATCTTTAATTAAATGTTAAAAACAAAAAAATGAAATATGAACAAAGTAAACTAGAAAGAATAGTAATTTTATGCTTTTAAAAAAAATATATTGTTTCTATTTTTTCAGTATAAAACTTTAATGCTGGGGCTTTCCGGACCTCTCTCTCTCATCTATGCATTAAAACATATCTTATTTGTAAAAACAAAGAGATATAAATGTTAGATCTGCAGTTGTACAAGATTTCGTTTACTTATACATTACCATATATTTAATACCCCCAACATATTTTATTTCCAAGAAAAGATTAATTTTACATTTCATTGCCAGTTGCCATACGCGGGCATTACTAGTGTTTCACAAACACATCTTGTTTACTGTTGTTATGTAGACCTTCATAATTCACATTTGCATACATCACATCGACAAGATCTCTCCTTGGGTATGGTCATTTTTACCTTGAGTTTGACCCACTTTGAAAATCTTAAACCATAGCTATAACTTTCATATTCGAAGATCTACATATATTGTGAAATACGAAAGCCCTAGCACCACATGTTCAAAATTTATGGCCAATTTAAGGATAAGTTTTTGAAAGCTAGGTCAAATTCCACGGTCAAGGTCTAAGGGACAATTTAAGTTGTTGGTTTCTGAAGAAAGGTCTTGTCATTAAGATTTCATATCATGTGAAGTGTGAAAGCCCTTGCCCCAACCATTCAAAAGTTATGGCCAAAGTTTTTTTTTTTTTTTTTAAAGTATGGTAGGTCAAACTCCAAGGACAAAGGGTCAAAGTTCTTGGTATCCAATGAAAGGTCTTGTGACTCTTGTCACTAGAACCCTTGGCCCTGTGGCCACGAATTTCACAATTTTGGTAGAAGACTCAATGTAGACTCAATGTTTATTATATTAATGCCAGCGGTTTGACTGCTTGATTTCCAGGAGTAATGAAGAAATTTTTAAAGACTGCACTAATTGTAGTGGTTTTGGCCCCACTCCTCAGGTCCCATATGCGACAAGGACCATGAAATTCACAAAATTTGTTTCCCTTGACTCATAGATGTCATATGCTAAAACTGGCTGAAATTGGTTCAGCGGTTTAAGAGAAGATGCTGAAAATATTCAAATTCACAGAACCAAAAAAAAAATTACAACAAGTAACTGGAAAATAATAATGAATGCATGAATACTGAATTTCAAATATAAATAAACGGTCACCCTTTGAAATGACTCAGGTAACCTTAAATCATGGAATACATTTTTAAAGTTTGATTAATTTGAGAAAAGGAACTTTATTAAATTAATTGATTCATTAAAACACCCAATCAATTATCTTTTCCAATGTTTTTATGTAACAGTCTTCCTGTACAAATATTTTCATATTTTCAATGACTTTCGATCTAAAATTCTTTTTGGTAGGTACAAACCAGTGTTGGATAAAAGTATTCAAGTAGGCCATGAAATATGTTCAAATAATATTTTATTTCATTTAGGAAATATGAACATTTAATGCTTCAATATTCTTAGCTTTCCTTTCAGATATTTTTTTTTAAATAAAAATCATATATTATCATTCACATTTGATCAAGATTTGGTAATGATTTTCCCGTAAGTAGTTTCATGGATTGAAGAGGGGTTTAATTTGAAAGCTTGCACATGTAACAGGTATGTTTTGATTTTTTGAAATACCTTTTTTTATGTCCTTTTCATTCATGTCTTTTACATTAAATTCAAACGTAACAATATATGAATTACTGATAAAAATTTCATCACGTAATATGCCGTTTTTTTTGACATGTAACAGGAACTTTGGAATGTGTGGTAAATAATTGCTACTATGTAGCGAATTTTGGCAGGTAAAATTCAAATTATATTAAATGAAATGTGCGCATCAAGAATTTGACAAGTAGCAAGGAAATAAGAAATGTTTGGTAAATGATTTTTAAGAAGTACACAAATGTTTCTTCAAAAAGTTAATAGCAAGTATTTGCAGTTGGAGAGATTGCTATATACATGTAGTGAATTTGAGGTCTCGTCGGTTGTGTCACTACAACACAAGTATGCAAAGTATGATATTTTCGGGACTTATATCATAAATCTAAGCTCTAGGCCTATATATTCTTTTTCAAAGTATTGTTACAGAAAATCTTGTTTTTGCAATATGTAAATAAAGATTTATATCAATGGTTTTTATTTTATGTTTTTTCCAAATATTTTTTTGCTAGTTATATATTTCTTTTATATATTTTTTTTTCGGAGAGCTACAAATCTGCAGCTACAGCGTCGTGCCATAAGTATTCGCGGAAAAATGGCGGACGTGATTTGAGAGTTATCGCGCTTGCAACATAAAAGTCACCCAAATACAACAAAAACAAAACAAACTTACCTTTAGTACTTTGTTAAATGTCCCTTGGATCGTATACATGCCATGATGCGTTTTGGGATGGATTTATAAAGGTTTTGAATATACTGTGAAATTCTGCCAAGTGTGCAAAATAACAGCGAACAGCTGATTTAATATTCCACTGTCATTTTATCTGTATTTTAATATGCCAACAGTTTTCAATGATATTAATGTCCGGACTCTGGGCTGGCCACACCATACCTCGAATATTATTTGCACGTTTATATTCCTCTACAACACGGGCTCTATGTACCGGCGCATTGTCGTCTTGAAAAACGTCGTGCCAAAAGTATTCGCGGAAAAATGGCGGCCGTCGTAAAACGTTCACGCTTCGCGTTTTTTCAAATCGTCCTAAATCATTATGCAATCGCTTTTTTATATTTTGATATACCCCAAAACCGCGTAAGGTCATTTTGATGTCATGTTTGACGTCTGCTAAAGTTAGACTGCCGAATATTACGGACTGTAAACAAGATGGGTAGAAAATCAAAAGAACTGTCACTAGAGGTAAAACAGCTGATTATAGATTTGAAAGAAAGCCCTAGCACCACATGTTCAAAATTTATGGCCAATTTAAGGATAAGTTTTTGAAAGCTAGGTCAAATTCCACGGTCAAGGTCTAAGGGACAATTTAAGTTGTTGGTTTCTGAAGAAAGGTCTTGTCATCAAGATTTCATATCATGTGAAGTATGAAAGCCCTTACCCCAACCATTCAACAGTTATGGCAAAGTTTATTTTTTTTTAAAGTATGGTAGGTCAAACTCCAAGGACAAATGGTCAAAGTTCTTGGTATCCAATGAAAGGTCTTGTCACTAGAACCCTTGGCCCTGTGGCCCCGAATTTCACAATTTTGGTAGAAGACTCTATGTAGACTCAATGTTTATTATATTAATGCCAGCAGTTTGACTGCTTGATTTCCAGGAGTAAAGAAGAAATTATTAAAAATTGCACTAATTTTAGTGGTTTTGGCCCCACTCCTCAGGTCCCATGCGACAAGGACCATGAAATTCATAACATTTGTGTCCCTTGACTCATAGATGCCATATGCTAAAACTGGCTGAAATTGGTTCAGCGGTTTAAGAGAAGATGCTGAAAATATTCAAATTCACACGACTCACGACGGACGAAGACAGATAGCTATCGGTCACCTGAATGACTCAGGTGACCTTAACATAGAATACACCTCTAAAGTTTGATTAATTTGAGAGCAGGAAGTAAGAAAATATTGATTCATTATATCTATCTTTTCCATGTATCAGTCTTCCTGTACTATCATGACTTGATCTGGCTGTGTACGGTCCTGTCCAGAGGAGCGCCTTCCTCCCCCGGAAACCCAGGCAAATACACTCATTGAACATAAGAAGATGAGCCAGATTACTTCTATAATCAGTCACATGTTGCCAAGCTTTGGGTCCGTAAGTAGTTTCATGGATTGAAGAGGGGTTTAAGGTCAGACGAGACGTTCCTCAATATCTGTTTTGTATATCTTCGTAATGTTTGAAAAATATTCAAAATTTCAATAACATTCTGATTTTTTAAACCCGTTTCTAAATGTTTTTAAAAGATCCAAACACTTAAACATTTGAAATTGCAAAAAAAAAATTTCCCCAAAAGGATTATATAAGAAAAACTACCCCTGGTATCTTGCAGAAATGCCTGGTAAGGTACTTCAATTTTTTGTAAGTAAACATGTTTAAGTAGCAATACTTCAATGACAAACTCTTGGAAAATTTTATCTATTATTAAGGAACGTCTCGTCTGGCCTTAATTTGAGAGTTTGCACATGTAACAGGTATGTTTTGATTTTTGAAATACCTTTTTTTTTCCTTTTACATGTCTTTCACTAAATTCAAAAGTAACAATATATGAGTTACTGATAAAAATTTCATCACGTCCCGTTTTACATGTCAATTGTAGTTAAAGAATGAAGAGTTTTTATGAAGGATGGGTTTTGGTGTTTCTGGTATTTCTGTGCACAATCTGGAGAACTCCAGCCTACCCAGGTACCTGTCTCACTGAATGTATATGAACTTATCGAAGGAATGATAAATAAAAATACCTCTAGCCTTGGTTTGAAGACAGTGAATGAGATCTGACAAGTACAGTAAACGTCACCTCAATGATTTCTTTTCCAACTTTTCAAAAATACTCTTTAATGATACAATGATTTTTAGTTTATGTTCCTTTAGTTATATATTTCATTTATATATTTTTAAGAAACTCTGTATAAAGATCAGATGAGTAAAGTGCGCCTTCCCTGCCAGTCCCAGATCACAAAGGTAATTGTATTTGTAGAAGTTTTGGTTGGATTTCTTTCCACTGTATAGTATACAGTTATAAAGTATATCATTGAGGGAGTTAGCAAGATTTCAGTTCCCCAGGACCAGGACTATTTCCCGAGGCTCAGCCGAGGGAAATAGACCTGCATCGTCGAAGGGAACTGGAATCTTGCTAACTCCTTCAATGATATACAGTATCATTTTATTTACCGTTTTATTATACCGATACAAAAGTAAAAAAAAAAAAAGTAGAGAATTTCGAGAGAGGGGCAATTTGCTTTTAGAGCGGGGATTACCTCACTTGACTAACTCACGGGGATTAGTCCATTAATTAACATATTTACCGATAAAAAAGTGAAATCTAGAAATTACAGAAAACCGTGAAGTACTTCCAGAGCAGGGATTAGATCATACGGCTAACGCACGGGGATTAGTCCATTCCGGTGATTTCAAAGGAAGTACTCACATTTTACTACCTACTTTTTATGTAGGAAAAAATCAGTAGAGGTATAATAACATCTTTTAACGTGCACTCCAAACTTCCTACATTCCCACAACATGTGCAAGGCTATAAAATCCGTTTCCCCCGGAAATAGGCAAATACAGTGGTACATAGTATACAAAACTTTAAGATGGATTAATACTACAACTTTGAATGAAATTTCTTTTTAAAAATGTATTTTATGATCACATATAGAACAAGTGGGAAAGACTGGTAGACAAAGGGGCAGACAGACGGACGGAGAGACTCAGGTTACCTGACATGCATGGTTGCCTTTTAAACGATGACCAGGAACTTTGAAATTTATGTCATATTAGGTAATTGTTCGCCAAATTTGAATGGATTTTATGCATTTTTTCCCCCAAAAGACTTACATTTTAGGAAAAGCGTGTACGTATTTAGACTCTCGTTACATTCAGTGAATCGGAAAATGATAAGCGATGTCCTGAAATTGTACAATAAGATTTCGACATTTCATTTTCACCGTGAGAACCAAACAGATTTCAAAACTGTTGTTTTTATACCCTGCTCAAAGGGGTGAAGGATGTTTTGTGGCGCTAAATTGAGTCTCAGGGAAACCGTCGAGCCTTGAGCAACTCCGGTCCAACAGATTGACTATTTCTCTCTACCCCAGACAACAACTGTATACTGTTTTACTCTCGTGTGTCTGTCTGTGTGTAGCTGATGTCTATCCGTCACAGTTTTATCAGCAGCTACTCTTGGCAGATGCTTGGAATTTTAACACACTCTTTGTCTTGGCATGACATGGTGGGAATTCACTTTTGTACAAATCCGATGTCAGCTTCCTGCTATACATGCGTCTGTCCTTACCAAATTTCAATCACAGTTTTCTCAGCAACTAATTAAGACAGATGCTTATAAATGTTAGCACACTGTCCCTTTAGGAACTTACAGACTTCTTTATAATTTAATTTTTCTTTTACAACCGTAGTTCTCCGAGCTCCTATTACATTTTTCACAGAATCTCTATCATATTTTTGAAGAAGTCGAGATATTTCCTGTAGATGTACATGCCTTAAGGTTTAGGAATTTTGAGTTTTACCATGCATGAATGTGATAGATTTTTTTTTCTGTAGATTATAGAATTTTTATATAGCTTAATTCTTCCTTTTGCTCAAAATATTTAGAGGCAAACACATAAGCGCGGGTAATATTCTGTCATATTACATCCATTTTTTCTCTTTTTGTGTTATATATATTTTTAATATTTTTAAATTTTTTGTGCAGGAGCCAGTTACAGTCATATGGAAAAAGACACCTGGTAGTAAAATACTTTTCTTTAACGAAAGAAGTCACACTAATGATGATAAATATTCACTGGGTAGAAAATATCGAGACGATTGGACCCTGGTGATAGACACGCTTCTGAAGAGGCATGAGGGGGACTACGTGTGTCTGCAGATTTCTCGTGGTGTAAGAACCACCCTCAAGGAGTACACACTCCGCCTGAATGGTACGAATTTAACCATGGCATTTTTATTTAAAGTATGAAGTCATACAAATCTGGAAAAGACACAGGAAAAAACATACATATATTATACACTGTATAATATTTTTTGTTCCATTGTAGACTCGGGACAAAAGTTTACTGCATGCCATATTACCGGGTATTGTTACTCCCCTTGCAGGGATGTAGCATTGTTTTTTTAAGGGGGTGGGGGCAACCAGGGAAAAAATCAACTCACCTGCAAAATCCTGATCAAAAAAAACTTGACCAACGACCCCCACCCCAATGCTACGTGCCCGTCATGTGCTGTGAATACAAACAAGAGGTCCATGGGCCACAACACTCACCTGAGTAACTTTAAGTCTGCTGTTCACCAGATCCCTCCCCCTTGTAATACCAATTGTGGCCCCATCCTAACCCCCCACCCCCACTCCCGAGGTAATTATTTGAATTTAGAACCTACACTACCGCAAGTTGCTTCCACATTAGCTTCAGTCTTTCTGTTCCAGTGGTTCTTGAGAAGAGAAAATTTTTAAACATTTTTCCTAAATATTTCAAATAAAAATTGAATTCCCTATCATGGCCCTACCCTACACTGTAGGGGTATTGATTTTAACAATTTAGAATCTACACTACCCTAATTAAGATGCTTATACATAATTTTCAGCTTTTCTGGCTCAGTGGTTCGTGAGAAGATTTTTGGATGACCCCATCCTTTACTGTCTTTTTTGGTTATCTCCCATTTTAAGGTTGTTTGGTCCTTCCTTTTGACAATTTAAATTTGATTTAAATTTTAATGTTGGAATATTATTAACAGTGGTGTAGCATCGTTTTTGAAAGTGGGGGGCCAGCCAGAGAAAAAAAAAATTTGCTGAGCCCCTGATTAAAATGTGACTTTAAAACTTTTAAATACAGGTCCACCTCAAATACCACCAAGTACACCTTGGTCAATAAAAAGATCGGTAAAAGAGGGTGACACAGTGGATTTGTGGTGTAACGTGTCGAGCCCAACAAAGCCTTACATCCACTGGTTCACACAAGAAAGTGGACAATTATATCGTATGTATTTTAAAATCCTTATCTGCAAAAAATTCTAACGGAGAAACTTTTCAGAAGAGAAACTCCCAAATTCATGCAATATTTTCTTTTTCCATCTGTGCATATTCCGAGTGACTTATAGATGAACATTAAATCACTCTGAGACAATAACTGAAATTGAAATTAAGATTTTCTTTAAACACATAACTATTCAGGGAAAGTTTACGTTTAAAATTTTGAAATGTTGGAAAGAAATTACATTTGCGTTTATAAAGACGGGCCGTTTTATTTCAGCGATCCATGTCAGCGGTCCACTTCTACAAATCCGTAACATATCCAGATTCTGTGCCACAAAACATGTCTGCCTCGCCGAGAACGAATACTCAGAGAGTCCCATTAATATGACGTTTGATACTGAAGTGAAATGTAAGATTACTTAAATATTCTTTGTAATATATGATTATGGATAAATTACCTCCCTTTTTTCGAACATAACATTTTGGTTGTAAGGATTTTCGACTTTGGACAAACAATTTTTTTTTGACTCATAAAAGTTTTTGAGATAATTTTTCTCCCCCTCCCCCACAGATGTCCTCAGATTTCACTGAAAACGGATATATTAATTGGGATTTTCCAATTCTGTCTGTCATTCTGTTTTTGTGTTACAGTAACACTTTTATGTCTGGGTGATATCGCAAAAATCCTTTGAGCTTTTGTTATGAAGTTTTATTTACAACTTCCTATAGCCTACAAAGACCCTACTGTTTTTAAGGTCAAAATGTCAAAGGTCAGGGATATGAATTTAAAAATAGCAAATACATGTATCATTTTCATGATGATAACTACTAGTATCGTGTTCTTTGGGGATTCATCATATCAACTCTCCATGACCTAAAACGACCACCGATTTTAAGGCCAAAGGTAACGGTAAAATTTTATATATGTTTGTTGTTAACGTCCCTTCGAAAATTTTTACTGATATTAAGACACCACTATTCCGTGGAGGGCTGCAAATTTAGACCAGCACCTACTGCAACACCTTGTTTTATACCTTTTCGTTTATATTTTTTCAGAAAGGTTAACTTTTAATAGTAAAATAAAGTATTACAAATAATTTTAAAAATTTTCTGTCTTTCCATTTTTGCATCATTTACTTTCCTACCATATTAGCGACAAATACCTAGTACACAAATTCTGACATCCATTTTTTTTTTTTGTTGCTTATACAGTCGATGTTGCAGTTAAAACAAAATTTATTCAGTACTAAAACATAAACTGGATGCTTTCATTTAAAATTTAAGTGTATCGACAAATTTTCTATAGATCTACATGTATTTTACTTTGAATAATGATTTATATGGGGCAACACTGAATCAAAATCGGTGATGATGATGATCAAGCGTGGAAATTTTAGGCATAAATGCCTTCATCACGCAAGCTAATCGCTTATTCACACCATGAAACAAAAAAAAAGACGGTTAATTATTCCTTAATTGACAACATTACTGTGAATTTTGGATTCCTGTGTTTCCATCCTGGTTGCACACAAAGCTGTATTTTGGTTTTTTTTTTTTTTTTTTTTTTTTTTTGCAGTTTGAATATATTTTATACAAATATGTCAAAAGGATTGGACACATTTTTAAGTCCTCTCCCATACATAAAATCTGAATAGCCATACAACATTTACAAAGTTTTACAATAATATATACATGTACATGTACATAGAAAAACAAAAACAATTTTATGAATGAGGAAACAATATCAATAATTATCAATAATGGTAATAATAAACACAGTGTTGATATTGTAAAAATATATTAATTTCAATAGAGATAATACAGTTTAGTGTTAATTAAAACGATCTCAGACTGATTCCTGAATAAATTTTTGAACAATACCAAATATTTTTTCATTTTCCTGCGAAGTTAAGGAATTTTGCAGTGAAATGTGTTATGCTGGTTCTGAAATATCTATTTTAAATTATTTCTTATGAATTCTATCAACAAAATGTGACAAATATGGTCAATATATTCTGAAAATCCGGGAAAAAAATTGAGCCAATTTTACGTAAAATTGACATTTTTTTTTTTTAGTAATATCTGAAAATTTACATTTTATTCCCCAACTTTTAATGTTTTTTTCTTAATATTCAAGATAAATTTGACCTATTTGCTTACAATCAGAAAAAGTTTAAGACTTTAAGATAGTTTTCTTGCTTATTAAATTTTCAATGCCAGAAAAATCACTTTTTATTAGTGCAGAAAGGTCAAATAATTGATTATGGGAAGGAATTTGAAACTTTTTCTTAGTCAGAATTTTTAGGTGTCTTTTTTTGAACAAACTTAGAGTTCATTTTGTTTCATGCTTTAATTGGATAAATATATTGGAGGGAAAACGTCAACATTTAATTTTTAATTAAGACACAAATTTCAGTGCAAAGAAGGTCATATTAAATGTACTGTAGCGCCAAAAGAAGCATATTGACCCCATTTTTTGATCTGAATTTTAATTAAGCTATGTATGTATAAACTAAAAATATACTTGGCAAAAAAAGTTTAAGACTTTAAAATATCAGATCGAACGTCGTTAATTGTAAATTCAGTCGTATGTTTACTCTTTACTGAGTGCTACTGGAGATTCTAAAAAAAAACACTGAGAACACAATCAAACAATGGCTAATATATGTCAAGGACAGGGATGGGAAAAGGAAGAAACGGATAGAGAAGAAAAGAAGGGAGGAGGAGAAGTTATGGGCAGGGTTAAAGTTGTTCTTCTTCTCTTCTTCCATACGAGTTTAAATTCTAACTAGAGCGTTGTACTCGGGCTGTTGTTGAGGACAGGCAGGCAAGGAGACACAGACAGACGGACGGACGGACGGACGGGGGAAAAACCTTCTTTCTGACATCCATATTTGTTGCTTGTACAGTAGTGTGTCATCCTTTTTATATATATAAAAAAAAGACACCAAGAAGACTTTGAATAACACCAAAGCTGATTTGAGTCAAGGTTGACGTTATAATTTCTGTCTGTGTAATTTTAAAGGTCTTCCATCTTTTTTCCTTAAGCAGGGGGGAGGGGAAGGAGCACAAAGTCTCAGAAATTACATGTAGCTTGTTTAATTTAAAAGTTGAATTTACATCATGTGTATATTCATATATTTCTTTTCCAGTTGCGGCGCAGATACTTTTATATGATGCAAGACCCATCAAAAAAGATTTACGATCGACTACACTCTTCAGAAAAAGTGATGTCGAAGTGATATTACGATGTGACGTCATGGCATCGCCTGACATTGAGATATTCTGGAAGTTCCGAAAATGTAATAATTCTGAACTCCAAGAACTTGCATCCTACACATCAGGAAAGGGGATCTCAAAGACAAATATCACGGAAAATATTTATAGATTCAAAATTAATCATGTCCCAGAGAAGAGCGTGACAATGTTTGATATAATTTTTACAACGAGTCAGAACTTGACCTTCTCTACTTATGTATGTGAGGCGGAGAGCGATAAATTCCCGAGCGAGAAGAAGAGCATCGCTGTTGTGCAGCGACGATAGATCGAACTTCATCTAACGGAGATTCCAGAAAATGAGATGAGCCCTGTCGTTGAGAATAGACTCGAACTTCATAAATGCACTATCTTATTAATTTAATGTAATTACATTAAGTGTAATTACATGCACACGAGGTTGTACATTAAATGTTGACCATTGTTGGAAATAAAAGAAAAAAGTTTGTGTTGAAAGTTTATTTTGTTGCAAATGCATGCCCTTAATTGCACTTATCCTTTCATTCGGACGATATCTCAAAAAGCTTATTAAGCTTTTGCAGTGAAGCTACATATCAATACTTTCTTTGACCATAAGAAGACTTCTATTGATTTTGAGGTCAAAGGGTCAAGGTTATATATTTATGCATTCTCTCAGAGTGAAACACTTTCGTTTCCAGGCGATGTGTCATAATGCCATTGAGCTTTTGAAATGACATTTTGTATCACAGCTCCGTATGGCGAAGAGAAAAGCCGTATTGATTTTGTGATGAAAAGGTCAAAGTTCATGATCATATATTCATACTTTCTCTCTTTCTGTAACACTTTCGTTTCCGGCAATATTTTTTAAAAGTTTGGGAGCTTTTGCAAATAAAAAATAAAATTTTATATCTGTACCCCTTAAAGAATAAAGAAGATCCCTTATGAATTTAATGGCAAATAGTCAAAGGTCAAGAATCTCACTTTGCTAGTAACATTTTCTTGATGATAACTTGAATTTCTTTGAGTTTTCTCAAAAGAAATCGGGCTTAGCTTTGTCTTCATTCACTTTTTTAATCAAGTGCAAACTAGGTTTACACCACCAATGAACAACCAGTACATGTATACAGGACATGCGTTGGTAAATACACTGAAAATTCAATATTTAAGGAATAACTGTCTTATTTTTTGATTTCATGATGTGATCAATCGATTGGCTTGCGTGATAATTTGCATAAACGCCGAAGGCGTTTATGCATAAAATTTTCACGCAAGCCAAACGATTGATCATCGTCATGAAATTGAAAAATCTGACAGTTATTCCTTCTAGCTGTTTGTTCCGCCCTGCACGTGTTTTTTTTTTTTTTTTTTTTTTTTTTTTTGAACCGCGCCAATACATTGATGGGGAAATAAAATACATTTACAATTTGTAATTTTATCTCGGACAAAGACATTGGAAATGTAAATATTTGGCTGCAAACTGTCGACATGGAAAAAATTAAGAATTTTTTTTCTGTATTTGCGTACTTGATGGAAGGTGGGTTACAGTGAATGGTGGCTAATAATATAGTCTAGAGCTAATTTATTTTATATGATTTTCCCTATATCTCCCAAAGCGAATGCAGATGAGGTGTTTTACATGTTTTAGAGCTTAAAATTTGTTGTTAATAAATGTATTACACAAATATCTAATAAATCACGCCAAGAAGAATCATTATGTAATTTTTGCAATTGGATCAAACACCAGAATTAGGAGTAAAACAAGATGTGTTTGTGAAACACTGATGCCCCCGTATGGCAACATTGTGAAGATGGAACTTTTCTTAGATGCAAATTTAATATATTGGTACCCAAAGTAGGGTCTCCTAACTGGAAATACAACTGTAAAACATGAAAGCCCTATCACCATCTCTTCCCAAGTTATGGCAAGGCTAAAGTTTTTTCATATGTACAGAAATCTTCAAGATCAAGGTCAGAAGGTCAAGGTTATTGGTATCTAATGAAAGGTTTTTCCACAAAGATCACATGTTTGAAGTATGGAAAGCCTAGCCCTAACCATTCAAAAGTTATGGCCAAGGTTAAAAAGATTGTATTAGTACGTTATACTCCAATATCAAGGTCAGAAGGTCAAGGTTTTAGGTATTGAATGAAAGGTCTTGTCACAAGAATTACATATATGAAGTATGAAAGCCCTAGCTCTTACAATTTAAAAGATATGATCAAGGTTTATTTTTTAAAAGTAGGTCAACTCCAAGGTCAAGGTCAAAGGTCAACGGTCTTAATATCCAATGAAGTGTCTTCTTACAAGGATTACATATGTGAAGTATGAAAGCTCTAGCCATTACCGTTCAAAAGTTGTTGCCAAGGTTAAATTTTTTTCGATATCACGTAATTCTCCAAGGTCAAGGTCAAAAGGTCAAGGTTGATAGTATCCAGTCAAAGATCTTGCCCCAAAAAATATATATGTGAAGTATAAATGTCCTGGTATCTACTGTTCAAAAGTTATGGGCAAAGTAAAAATTTGAATTTTTTGTGTAAAAGTGGGTCAAATTCCAAGGTCAAGGTCAAAAGGTCAAATTTGGTGGTACCCAAAGAAAGGTCTTGTCACAAGGAATACACATGTGAAATATGAAAGTCACAGCTCTACTAAATCAATAGTTATAGACAAAGTTATAAAGTTTTTGCGGACAAACAGACAAGCAGAGAGAAAGAAAGACAGAGAGACAGACGGACACGACAAAAACTATATACCCCCGAAACTTCGTTTACGGGGGCATGAAAAATATTTTATTACGCAAAAGAAGGTACTGCCACAAGGAATACACATGCAAAGTATAAAAGTCATACCTTTAACCAATGAAAAGGGTAGGGTTAAAGTTGTTGAGGACAGGCAGTCAAAGGAACACAGACAGACGGACGGACAGGAAAAAAAACTTCATACCCGCAAATCTTTGATTACGGGACAAAAAAACAGCTTCATCGTCTTCAGCCATATATAGATCTCTTCCGAATGAGGGGGGGGGGGTCGTACATTTTGGCCGAACTTTTGAGTCATTCTTGTTTAGAAGTTAAAATCTTGTATTATTTGTATTCATATACCCCAGTTGGGGTGTTTGTCTTAAATGAAAACTTGAACAAGATGTGTTTGTGAAACACTATGTGCCCGCCGTAACGTTGAATTTTGACCCGGGTTGAAAATTGACCCGGGGGTCATTTTTCAACGTTGAATACTGAGACCAAAGGTGTTGAATTTAGACCCTAATCCGTTGAAAACTGAGCCGGGTCGTGGAATTTTGATCATGAAACCGGTTCAAAATTCAACAGCATAAAAACACATATTTATGATTGGGTTTTCACTACTGTGACTTAATTCATAGGTATGAGGCCCCGTTTTGGTATTTACTGGAAAAAGTAATATCCCTTATTTGAATAAGTGATATCACCTGTTCCAATAGATGATATCACCTATTTGATTTGAATTTGTGATATCACCAATTCGAAAAGTGATATCACTTATTCGAATTGGTGATATCACCTTTTCCCGTCGAACAGCTGTAGTTTTTGTTTTGTTTTTTTTTTTTGCTTACAAATTAATTTATTTCACTTATATATCAAGTAAACAACAAGAAAATCGTAGAAAACGAATTAGCATGAAAAGGTGATATCAACTTTTATTCTAAGCTCTCTGACTTGATCACATGATTAAGTATAACAGCATAAAGACGAGCTACTATTTATAGAATCTGAAATGCATATTGACTTCATGTTTTTTTTTCTTGTGATCATATGCTATATTGCAGGAGTCCTTTTAGAAAATTTCATTAAAGTGAGGGACATCGATCCCCCCCCCCCCCCCCCTGCCTGGTTTTCTCATAGAACAAGTGTTAAAATGGAGATAATTTTTTGTAAAAACAGAAATAGTATTGATTTCTCAATTAAAGATAATATAGAATATGACTTGATGTTTCTGAAAAAAAAATTACTGCAACTTGTATTAATATTTTTTAATGTTCCGTAATTGATGAGACGTAACAATGCCTTGAAGTCTTGAATTAGGATCTACATGTACTTTATATTAAAACATATTGGATATCTTTGTCAAAAATTGATGCGAGACATAATCAAATAATTAAATCAGCATTCTGAATAACTAAATCCTTTATAAATACTCCACCAATGTATAAAACGAGAAACATTTATTTAATATTAAACAGCAACAGCTTAATTTATGCTGATCCCCAGTCTCTAAGTCTTGAAGAGAGAAAACTTGTGCCTTATTCCCAAGATGTTCAAATTTTGTTTTGTCAATCTATGTGATAAAATGATTTATATTCGATAATAATGTGAACTTTACATTCCTATTTAATTGAGTTTACAACCAATTCTAGTTTAATTTGTCATATTTCCCAGAATGCAGTCATGGCATTTATTGAAAAAGAAAAAAAAAACATCGCATAGGAGAACATAGAGATAAAAATATGTAATAAGATGAGAAGTTTATCGAATAGGAATCATATTTTTTGGAATAGAAATGGATGCTAGTATGTTTTCGAACAACAACTTTATTGCATATAAAACAAATAATTATCGAATTGGAATGACAAAATTAGCGACTAGCAACCGATTGTTTTAAATATTAATGACATCGAATAGGAAACGCGTGTTTTCGAGAAAAAAAAAATGTAAATTTTATGATATATGAATCATATTGTCACATTTCTTGTAATTGGAAAAGCAATTTATCGAATACAAATTACAAATAATGGAATAGAAATAACAAATAATCAAATAGGAATCACATTCTATAGAATAAGAATGTTTTAGAATAAATTTTGTTATTTGTCACAGGGTCACGGTCTTGTTAAAAGAATTCAAAACAAAACTGGTTCGGTCGTTTTACAATTTATTACTGGATATAAAGAAAAACCTAGAAAATAGAAAAACACTCTCACAACACTCATACAAAACAGTACACATAGACAAACACGAAACATAAAGACATTTCAACATTTACGAAAAGTAATAATTAAATAAGTTATTCAAACGACTGCCAGTAGATCGTTACATAAATTAAACAAGTAAATGAATTACAAGATAAATGAACATCTTACCAGGCATCCAGTATCAAATAAGAAATTATAATTATATGCTGTACATCGATTGAATCGATCTGTGATAGAATCTATATGATCTGCTGCCGTAAAGGCTGTAGAGCTTGGGGTGGGGATTCGGCGGGTTTCTTACTTTCACCCACCTGATCAATATATATAGGGCTACTTTCTAGATTGCAGATTTTTATTAAGATTTTTGTTTTATGCCCTATTCGTTGTTTTGTAGTTATTTATGGATGCCATGGATTTTGGAAAGTATTGTGACCGTGTAAGATGAACATATTTTTGAGTAACAATAATTTCCTTTGATAGTGCTTAATGTAATATAATTAGACCTTGACCGCAAGACATTTGATGCCACCTGTACCTGTGTGAAAGTGCTAATTATTATTCAATTATATTAATTATGTCAATTATGTCCTTCTGCTTTGAGTAACTCTCGATTGTAATTGTTTGCTTCATCATTGTTATAAATTGGTTGTTTAATACAAAGATCTTCAGTTGGAAACTGGACCTTGCACTGTCCACGCCGACACACGGATCGAGTAGAAACACCAAGTTTTGGACCGTTAATAAATTATTAAACGAAGTACCGACTTGTGTATTTCTACCGGTTATAGTATTGTCAAAAATAAAGTTGTCATGCTTGAAGATAACTAAAACCGTGCACTGTTCAAAATGTACATATATTCACGGGGTGATACTGTATGTTTATTTCTATTATTCTTGAAAAGGGGAAAAAATTGAAACCGAAATATGAATAAAGTGATACTGATAAATCCCGTAAAACAACTTCCCAGCTAAAAAAAAATGCTCAAACTTTGAGGTGGGGTCAATATTCAACAGGGTCAATTTTCAACTTGTTGACGTCATCAGGTGTAAGAAAAAAAATATCAAGCTGTTGAAAAATGACCCCGGGTATAAATTCAACGACTTTTGGTCTCAATATTCAACGTTGAAAAATGACCCCGGTTCAATATTCAACGTTGAAAAATGACCCCCGGGTCAATTTTCAACTCGGGTCAATATTCAACGTTACACCGGCAACAAAGTTCGGAAAAAGCTATTTTTAGCATTAAGGTCACAGTCAAGGTCACAAGGTGATTGACCTTGGTGTCATTTGAAAGAGCTTAATTAGTGAAGTATGCATACCAAATATGAAGTATCTATCTTTCATGGTTCAAAAGTTATGGTGAAGGTTAAAGTTCGGGACAAACAAACAAACAAACAGACAAACAGACAGGACAAAAACAATATACGCCCTGGATCTATCGATCCGGGCGCATAAAATCTTGAAACTTGACTCTTGTCATCGGGATCGGAATACACAAAATTTTATTGAAACAAACTATAAAAAAAAATCAGTTTGGTCACATGACATAAAATGGCAGATAGCGAAGAGAGCAGTCCACCCTCTTCACCTGATATTCGAGATGACGAGCCAGGAAGACCTCGAGAGGTCACGGTTACTAAATCAGAGACAGGTTTTGGCTTCAATGTGAGAGGCCAAGTGAGTGAGGGAGGTGTACTGAAGTCAATCAATGGGGTGTTATATGCTCCTTTACAACATGTAAGTGCAGTGCTTGATGGAGGAGCAGCACAGAGGGCAGGGATAAGAAAAGGGGACAGGATACTGGAGGTGTAAGTGACACTTATGCAGCTCTGTCATAAGATAATGAATTATTGGTGTTTTATGAACTTTCTATTCACATGTATATCTGTCAACATTTCTTTAGACAGTTAAATAAGCACTTAACTGCATGTACATTGCATTGAATAGCATTTCTTCTGTCACGAATTGTACATTATATAGAAAAAGCATTTCTTCTCCAAGAGGAAGTCTAGGGAATATATAATTCACAAGTATAAAAATATGTTGACGGTGCGACTGTTGGTTGAGCGCAGCCAGATATGTATTCAGTAATTTAGACTGGGCTTGTCAGACTGCACATGCCAGTGATGTACATGAAGTCCCTCAATTGAAATTCATCTATATGCTTTATAGGACCCCAAAAGCATTGTTTAGTCTATTTTTTTTTTTTTGTAAAAAGAGTGCTTTTTGAAACATTTCAGAGATTCTTAAATTATAAATGGCATTTCCTTTTAATGATCTTGGATAATTTTTTACCCTGACAGCTAAATATTTGCAAAAGTTTTTCTAATATTAAAAATACTCAGAACACAAACATTTAAACAATCCACAGACTTCATTTATCACCTGTGCAATGAAATCTTGTAGAAATTGGACACAAAGGTATTCTTGGTATATTATATTTGTGTATAAATTGAAGGATTGATCTGATCTTGGTTTTATCATATAAGTTGGTTACATGCACCCCATGATATATGTACACTAGCTCTCAGACATGTATTTGTATAAAGAAAATAAAAACTAGTGTTTAGCCTTCATTGGTTAGTAAATTGTAATGGGAACTAAAACTTTTTTACGTATATATATAACTACACTGTATGAAAACATGAAAATGATTTAAACATGTACTTTTTATGATAGATGTTTTTCAAAGTTTTTTCTGTATCCTGGGCTAAGTACCACATGTACCATGGTGATATTAATGTGAGAGTACAGGTATACTGAGAGTATACCCGAATAAATAAAATTTGTTGTATTTGTCTTAGTTTAAAAAATTTTTTTCAAATTTTAACAGTATATAAAAGTGATTCAAGTGAACAAATGGTGGTAAAATCTTACACTAAAGAACTGGAGTACATTTGTAATACACATATTGTAAAAAGCAATATGCCTGTATTTTAGAAGTTTATATCTTTAAAATTTGTCTTTCTAAAATGATCTTGATACATACAATAGAAATACACAGCATTGATTATTCTTGAATTATTTTGATAACTTATTTTTTCTGTTGTGAATGAGAAGTACAGGTGTTCTTCTTTCCAGTGAACCTAGTTTATTTCTGAAATCATTCAGTGAAAAGTCATGTCTTTGTGATTTTTTTTTCTACGCACTGGTTTTCCCCATTTTCACAGTAAATGAGTTACAGTTAACTCCTCAGAGGGTGCATAAGCTACATGTAAGCAGTAATCTACAGATTCATGAGAGATGAAATCAATGAAGCACATGACTTGTTGGTCTTTAAAGCCATAAAGCCAATCCTATTTAGGAAGAAAGCTGCTTAGATTTACATAAAATGTATAAGTTTTTTCTCTTTTTAGATACTACGTATGATATTAAACTACATGTATTATAGGAAAAAAGCTACTTAGATTTACATAAAATGTGTTGGTCTTTTCTCTTTTTAATGACTTAGGTACAATATTTTTGAAAATACTATTCCTATATACATATCAGTAGTCTAGAGTTTCATATAAGTTAAAAAAAATAGAGAGGAAATGTGTGAAATTCATTATTTGGCTATAAACATTTTAATGAGTTTTTCTTTAAATTGATATTCAAATACTCAGTTTGTTAGTTAGTAATTTTCCAGCATGATTTTGATTTGACATTTTTATCAGAACTGGTTTTGATGATGACCACTCATGGTTGAAACTTATCAACAAAATAAATTTATTTCTGCATTCTTAGGAAGTGTTTGTGATGTATTTTATTTCTTTAAGTTTATAGATCTTATTGAATACTGTTTGTTATCTATGAGTGGGAATCTTCCGCATTTTCAACCTGATCTCAAGTTTTTCTTTATTTGATATTTAAATGACAAAGTCACCTTTAATACACGTAGGTCTGTAATTGATTTCTTGTAATGTGATGCTTCCTGTAAGTGTTTTCCTGATATATATGTATTTGAAATCCAACATTTTTATGCCTCTGTATGCAAAGATTTGATGGTATTCATAGTTTTCCTCTTGTCTATCAGTCTGTCTGTCTGTGTGTTTGTTTATCTGTTTGTCTGCAAAAACTTTTACCTTGCCCATTACTTTTGAATGGGTGGGGCGCTGGCCTTCATATTTCACAGGTGTATTCTTTGTGATAGGACCTTTTTTTGGGACCAGGTACCACCAAATTTGCCCTTTTGACCTTGGAGTTTGACCCACTTTTACACAAAAGAGTAGCACATTTTTTGTATAATCATGTATTATAGTAAGTTATTGAAAAATTTTCATGTATATTACAGAAACCATGTCAATGTTGAGGGGGCAACACACAAACAAGTGGTGGATCTAATAAAAAGTGGAGGTGACTCTCTCGTTTTAACAGGTAAAAAATAATTAATGCAGTCATAAATCCAGTGATGTTTTCTGTCTGGGCTAATCTATTAAAAATGTCTAAGCCAGTATGTTTGCTTTGATTCTGTAGTGATCTCGGTGCCAGAGCAGGTTGCTGAGAGGTTGGAGCCCAGTGATGATTCCTCTGGACCCTCATATATAGACTACTCTGAGCGACGCTCCCTCCCAATATCTATCCCTGACTACCAGACGGTAGAGCAGGGCGGAGAAAAGTTTGTGGTAAGTCACTGCCTTGCTCTCCTACCCAGTTTCAAATTCTGATTACGCTCAGTGGAGAAAAAAGAGCAAAATTCAGTGTAATTCACAAGTATATGTATTCCTTGTATACTAGTAGCAAATTTAAAGTTCAGGTGATAATTTCTTTTTTCTAAGAATTGGTTAGATACAGTGTTTAAGGTTTGAAAAACTTTTTAGTCCATTTTTGGTTTCTATTGATTTTTTAGCTTCATCCTCTAACATTGAATTTCTATAAGATCTTGTCTGACATGAGATGGAATTTGTTGAATCACCTGTAGTGTCTGTCCATTATCTGGAACCATTAGTGCCAGCAGCCATCAGGAAGTCACAAACCTAGCACAATGGCTCCCAACAAACACCCCTCATCAACCTGACATCAAGCAAATTGATTCTGTTTTCTTATTTGCTTCACATTTTCATTGATTTTAAAACAGCTGTCAGCCAGACTGTCTTAATTACTGTGCAGCAATGTCTATGTTTTGGGGTAGATTTTATTGAGCTGTTTTCACAAAGTGAAGTATGTTCAACATTTGAATCTTTAGAAGCACATTTTCTGCTATTTTTGAAGTGCTTCTTTATAAATACATGTATGTGGTGCAAAACGCATGCATTTGTACACTTACGAATAAAAGAAGTTTCAACAGACAAAAAGATTCAGCAAGAAACATTTTCAATAGTTTATTTTATATGATATATCCTATTGATGATGATACATGTACTGACTCCCTGGCACACTTGATCGATGTACAGTCGCATTCCTCAGTCTTTGGTATCTAGTGCCTGCTGCATACATGTAAAGTAATATCACTGCTTATATACAAATATTAGATGATGGGCAATTGAATCAAAATGGATGTTTACAGTCAATCCAAGGGTTCATACCATTTCAATCAAATTTGAAAAAAATTGCCAAAATATTCATAAAAAGCAATTGATTATTTCCCACTGAACACCAACAGGGCAAAAGTATGACATTAAAATTTCTAATGGATCAAAATCTAACTGACATAATTACTCATACACTGTATCTCATAGTGTGAAAGGCACAAGATTGATTATATACATGTGTATGTAATCCATTGTAAAATCTGTTGTGGCTAGATACATATACCAGTAGTCTTTAAAGGTTTTTTGTTTTTTTAATGCAAGAGTCATTGCAGTTATCAGATGGTTATATTGCTAGTAAGCAGTTCCCAGAGTTACTGATTCAGTGCTGCCAATGTTGTATAATTAATTCTACAAGTCCCAGTCTTTTGCCATGAGCAAGTCCTGATATGAGCTGAATTTTCTCACTGGTTGATTTGATAATGATGCTAATTAACTCTCTGATAGCGTGTGTCCCTCAAGCACATTCAGATAAAGGAGAATTCATAAGCTGGATTAGACAGACATACATTGACACATATTGACACTTTCAGATATGAAAAGTGTAGATCAGGAATATATGGATGTCATCCTAAAGTTAATGCCCCCCCCCCCTCCCCGCAAATAAATAATATACAGATGATTGGTTTAAAAAAAGAATAAATTGGTCAGCATTTAAATTCATCAGTAAACTCTTTTCATTGAATGTTTCTAAATATTAAACAGCTTCTTTTTTGAGAAACATTTCATGACATATTTCATTATTTTAGGTTTTCAACATATATATGGCTGGAAGACATCTTTGCTCTCGGAGATACAGAGAGTTTGACACACTGCATTCTCGATTAAAAAGAGAATTTCCTGACTTCAATTTTCCCAAAATGCCTGGAAAAAAATTATTTACCCTGTCAGAACAGCAGTTGGATGCTAGGAGGAGAGGCTTAGAGCAATACTTAGAAAAAGGTAGGATTAGTGGTTAAGGGTTGTGGGATGTAGAAGGGTAGGTTGTAATTTTAAGTCAACATTATAAGAAACGGAGGAGAAAAAAATAAATCAGTGCAGTAGACTTTTGATGTCAGGGCTACAAGTATATATTGAAATAAATATTTCATTTCATTTGAGTGGAAAATGTCAAATTTTGCATTTACTGTTTCTCTTTCCCTTCATTGTAAACTTTTGTCTTGACTGTGCAGCAAAGATGATGGTAAATTTTTATAAGATAATTTTATTTTCAAGAGAGATATATCTATATCAGCAAATTGACTACATACGAAAAATTAAAAATTTTTGGGCTGTAGCATGGATAAGTACTGAAATAATTTGTATCAAATGATATAAATGCATCTCAAATAAAATTTTAATTCAACTGGGGTTGTAAAATAAGTAGATGTAAATATCTTTGACTTTAGTTAGAGTTATAAATTGAAATAAATGCATTGAGGGAAGGATCTGATGCACATTTATAATACAAAAGAAAATTGACATCATGCAGTTGAAGTTTCATCTCATTTTGTTAATGTTTTTCTTTTTCAGTGTGTGCTGTAAGGGTAATTGGTGAATGTGAATATATGCAGGAATTTTTGGCTGCTCCAGAAGTTGATCAAGTAAGCTAAAAATTTATCTTCCATTGAAGCATGTACATGTATATCAAGAAGTTTGTATAACCCGTTCACATGCTTAACTATTTCTGAACATTTTCTGAAAACTTTCTGTTTTCTGAACATGCATGTTTTGAATTGCTTATGTACATGGATATCAGAGAAAATTTTGTATATGTAGGGGTATTTTGATTTGCATTTAATTTCATTAAAAGGAAAACAATCACACAAATTCAGAGGTAGAACTGAAAGTGCTGCTTCCAGATCGCAACCTGTGTGTTGTGAAGGTCAACCGTAATGACACAGCTGATGAAGTTTATAAGGTAACGTAATGACACAGCTGATGAAGTTTATAAGGTAACGTAATGACACAGCTGATGAAGTTTATAAGGTAATATAATGACACAGCTGATAGAATAATGAAACAACTGATGAAGTTTATGAGGTAATGTAAGACAGGGATTAATTTTTTTATTTTAATTTGCACAACTAGTTTAGAAAAATTCAACAAGTTTAAAGTGAAAAAAATACAAATTCATGTACTTTGTTATGATTTATTTACTTATAATTGGTTACTTACATGAAAGCTGGTTACAGAAAAGCAGTACATCTCAAAAGAAAAAAAATTTATCTACCAGCTATAAATTGTTAATTGGAAAAATGAATTCCCGTCTTGTTCTCTTTGTAGGCTGTGGTGTCCAGGCTACACTTATCAGAGCCTGCTGCTCACTGCTTTTATTTATTTGAAACTGTGGAATACAATTTTGGTAAGCATTTCCCTGAAGTTCATGGTATTTCAATTTTAATAAAGCTTCAAGAAGAAGAAGAAAAAATTATCAATACAAAAAAGGCATAGCCATGGAATCTGCCATGTGTATTAGAATGTAGGGTGCCTTTAATATAAAAGCTACATTAAATTTCTTGATATTGCAGACAGGAAACTACAAAATACAGAATTCCCTCACAATATTTACATACAGAACTACAGTACTGCCACCTCAACATGTATCACACTACGGCGATGGCTGTTTTCTCCAGCCCTGGAGGCCATGCTCAACTCAGATCAACAAGCAGTCAATTTCCTCTTCTGGGAGGTACTGTATAATTCCCAAGAGCCTTGTTTGAACATCATTTATTTTTCTAGTAATATCATCTAACCAAAAAGTCCCTATGCATGTAGCAAAATTCTCATCAAAATATCTTCCCTTCTTATAGATACTAAGAATAAAGCACAGTGATCTGTGCACATAAAATGATTATTTGTATGAAAAGTTTCTAATGTGAGAATATAAGAAAGGTCTTGAGCTTTCCTACTGCCTTAGTTTTATCAGATTTAAAATTTTGTTAAAAGTACCCTCACTGATGTATTTAATTTTATGTCAAGATGGTTTTGATAGTCAGCTTGTCATATTCTGTTTACCTTTAGGCTGTTGACTGTGTAAATAAAGGACAAATCAAAACAGAGGATAAACTGTATGAACTTAAAGCACTGCAGGAATCCAACAAAAGCATTGAGGTGAGACAGCTGTGACATCAAATATTGTAAGATTACTAAGATACTCTGTAAAAACCATATGTCTCTCCATTCTTGTTATGAGGAGAAAAAGGAAAAGTTACTTTGGGGAAAAAAATATGCCTCCCTTTTAAGAAGTGAGGGTGTATGGGTTTGCTAGTTGGTTGGTTGGTCTGTCTGTCTGTTGGTAACACTAACAGTTTCCATTCATTTTCTTCACAGAAGTTTCACATACTGAAATGAAATTTTATGTACAGATTTATCATAAGAATATCTAGGTCAAATTCTGTTTTTGGGTACAATCGAGCAATTTTGGTCAGAGTTATGCCTCTTGGACTTAGAAGAATTACAATTATTTGCAGTTTCCATTCATTTTCTTTGCAGAGGTTGCATGTACGGAATTGATAAGTTCTGTTTTGGGTACATAGACGTAGATATGCCCCTCGAACTTCGAAAAATTCCAATTGGGTGGGGGGGGGGGGTCATAAGTGTTTCATACGTAATCATCTCTGGTTACCTTGATTCTGTAGAACCTAGGTCATAAGCAAGAACTTTCATCTTCTTCTAAATTATGAGAATTATCTGTGCATGGCTAATATTGAAATTCTTTATTTCAGTACCTGAAGGTGGCTCGACAGCTTGAGGGTTATGGGGAGGTGGTGTTCCCACACTGTGCGTGTGACTCACGGAAAGATGGTCATGTGATTGCTGTCATAGGATTTGAGTGCTTCAAACTCCATGCCTGTAAAAATGATGGCACCCCAGAGGTATAATTATTTACTGTATTGACTAGCAAACCATTTCATGCATTTTGCTACTGAAAGTAAAGGTACTGTAAAAAAAAAAAAAAAAAAAAAAATTAATAAGAGTATCTAGGTCAGGTTTTGTTTTGGGGGTACAGTCAAGCAATTTTGGACAAATTTATGCTCCTTGGACTTGGGAGAATTCCAATTATTTGCAGTTTCAATTCATTTTCTTTTGCAGAGGTTACACGTATGGCGTTGTGTAAATTATTAGTATTTCATGATCATTGTTTAATCATCTTTTTCTTTTAACTTATAGTTATTTATACATTCATGAAATTTTAAATTTTCAGTCTCAAGTGATAGAATTTCAGTGGAAGGATGTGAAGACGTTTGATGTTGAAGAAGAGGGAATGTCCTTCTCTTTTGAGTATGCTCGTCCTGGAAAGAAGCCTCGTAATGTGCAGATATTAACACCATATGTAAGTACAATGTATATATTGTTCAGTTGTACGACACTTCATTTAAAATACATCTTGGTGTATTTATTATAAAATAGTTTTAATGAAGTTTGGAAACTCAGAACAACTGCATTTTAAAGAAAAATTGGTGTACTAATGAAATGAAAACATAGCAAATATTTTCTTTCAATAATCAAACAAAACTGTTTATTTATTTTCTTGTTTTTGTAGTATGAGTACATGAAGGAATGTTTCGATCGGATATTTGAGGAAAGAGAGCAGGAATATGCGGTAATTTAAAATTTTAAAACTTATAGTTAAAACAATATTAAACGATTTTCATCACTTGAAATACAAAGGACAAAATGTTGATCTTTCATTCAATTAGGTCAAGATTCTTACTTCAACCTTGCAGTTTGTACTTAATTAGATACTTTGTGTATTGGATATTGTCTGTATAATAGCAAAGCAGAATGATAATGTCATGAAAAAATATCTCTCATAAAGGTTACATCAAATGAAAAAATTGGTACATTATATTGAACTAAGGTTGAAGATTTAAAATTAAAAAATTTGAAAATTTTCCCCCCAAAGAAAAGTTGTCAACTGTGGTGCAGCCAAGGTTGATGATAGAAAGGGACAAAGCTATTTTTATATGAGGTGTTGCATGTTCTTGTATGGATTTATTACACATGTGCTTTATGTTTCCTTCTTTTAGACTATTTCTGCCCTTTGAAATAAAAAACAAAAGAATGTAAAATGGATTGAAAATAATGAAGATTGGTTTAAGACAGTGCAACTAAATAAGAAAAAAAGTATATTAACTTCAGTTTCAGTGGTTACTAAATTTAAATGTTTATCTTTTTCAGTGATGATTTTCAAAATAAACAAGAAAACTCCCTGAGGCCAAAAGTAAGTCAATGAACATGTCTGTTTTGTGTGGTTATGTAAAGATTCCAGATGAATTTTCATTACATTTACAACACAGCTAGTATTCTTTCTGATGTTAAAATGCAAGGACATTTAATACTGTATATGATTAATAATACAGATTTCTTAATTCCAATATTTTTATTATGGTTGGCATCTCTTACTTATGTCAGGAAATTGTGCACATCTGTATGTCCTAATTGAACAACTTTACAGCTAATACATTGTATTTATTACTGAACTATCTCTTTTTTTAACAGATCAGCTGAAATAACTGTGTTCTTGGATATTGCAAAATCACTTTGTTGCTGAAGAAACAGCAGGAAGTCTGGTGTGCTATCCCTCCACGTTATAGTACTTGTGTTTAGATAGTGGAGGACTTCTCTTGCAATATGCCTGTTGCGGGTCAACTATCATGTGATGTCAATCTTGGTGTTTATCAAATTCAAAATCTTGTTGATCATTTTTAGGCTTCTTGTTGATCTATATTGTTATTTATTTCAATTTTATAACTGTTTAGTTTTGTATTTAGCTCGTAACAGTTCTTTGGATTTGAAAGATATTTTGCCATTGTGAAAACAAGTTTGAATAATTGATGTTTTGTGTTTGTACAGATTTGATGGGTATAGTGCTAACATCATGCTGTAGATTTAGATGTGAAAATCCACAGGAATATCTAGTCAAGTATGGGTTGATTTCTCTAAATGTAAACCCTGATGTAAACATTTGTATAATATGAAATAATGGTATATATAAAATTATGATGAAAAAGAACTTTAGGGTGACACATATATTAAATACACTTGTTACTTTTGTTGTCCAATAAGGGTATTATCTGCTGAAATCCATCTTCTCCCCAAATAATAAAAAATGGCCATATGGCCAAAGACAAAATCTGATGATCAAAGGTCGAAGCTGTCGTCAAACATTATACATTTTAACTATTTCCATTTGAATCTTAACTTTATTAATTCATTTCTCAAAGCTAGAGCAAGGAGACAGTAAATTTTGTAGTAAAAGAGACAAAGAATGATATTTGTAGACTTTAGCTGATCTGAATGATGCAGGCAAGATATATGACTGTTCTATGTAGATTTCTTGTCATATGATACAAAGCCAAATTCATTTTTTTCCTCCATAAAATTGACAAACTTATGTAAACAGTCTTCATTTCGATTTTTTATAATTAAGGTTTTTGGATAGATTGTTTTCTTGCCTTTGTGTACAAATCAAAGTATATTTTAAAGTAGTTTACAGTAATCAAAATTTAAAAGCAGTCGGTACATATGAAGTGTATATTCTATATATAATATTGTAGTATACAGAAAGACTGACATATAAATGGAACTTTTTTGTTAAAGTAGATTTATGTAATAATAAGATTGTAAATTTTTAAGAATTGTATGGTTTATAGAGAATAAGTGATCTATTATAAGCCACCATCATAAATCTCTCACCCCCCCCCCCCCCCCCATGAATGGTAAACTATTTATATTGTGGTATTTGTTATGCCAAGTACTACAGATTTATTGCTGTTCCCCCAGATCATGCATGAACAAATTTATATGGGTAGAATGCATCACTGTTTTCTGATTTCTGACTAGTAAACATAATTTGAAAATATATTTCATAATTCAAAATTAAATTTGGTTGAATCTGCAGATTTCAACAGAGACTTCTGTACATATATTCAAAATTTCAATTGCTTTTTTGGTATTTCCTTATTTTTTAAATATTGTTACATTTATGTGACATTGATGCAAGTATTTGGGGGAAACTTAACAAAAAGTTTATTCATTGTGATTCATTATGTAGAAAATTACATATTCGACATAAGTTATTTGTGATTACAGATATTTTGAATAGAGATCATTAATTTTATTTCATATTCATAGAATAGACACTTTTTCATAAAGAAAAAAAAAACGAAAGACAAAAGTGAGGAATTTTATTTCGTTGTTAAATGCATTTAAATGTTATATGTGTATTCATATGTACTCGTTTTGTGTAAACAATTTTGACCATTTTCTGTTCATTTGATAATGCATAACACATTATATCTCTTAAGTTCAAACATGTACATACATCATCTTTAGACTTGACTATAGGTTGAATTTTGTAAGGAAAATCAGGGGTTCAAAGAGTTGAAATATGTGAATATATGAATTAATTTATATATTGTTTGATTCATAAAATGAGAATTAGATGAATTTAAGTACTAGAAGACAACGGCACTTATTCTAGAATCCATAGGTTTAGTTAGAGGTTCCCAGTCAAAGAAATATAGTTTCATTTGTGTGATTATTGTCTAACATTATATGAACATGTAGTTGTATGTATGAAACTGGGAGGTTAAATATTGTATATAATATATACTGGTCTTCTTTGAGGTCGTACTTGAAGAAACTAAGAACTGTAATTTTGAAAATAAGAAGTTTCTATGAAATATGTTAGCCTTCATACTTCCCTTGGCCATAATAACAGTTTGCAATATTGAACAAAGGAATTTCTTTTTCCTGTATACAGATTTGTGTTTTTTGTGATTTATGTGAAGAACAGTGGGTACAAAAACTTGTTGTGAAGCATTTAAATTTCACACCTTCATTTAGTGAACAATGCACACTTATTTGTCACGAGTATTTGGTGAGTTGTTTTACAACTCAGAAATCTAAATCCTGGAACGTTTATTGTTTATGTTAAATATTATAATATATATCAATGACTGTTTTCAGTGAAATAAAAGTTATGATTATATAGCTGTCCTTAGTTGTGATTTTAGATACTACATGCATGACATACTGTAGAAGTAGAATTTTTAGCGAGGATTTAATTTTGGCATTATTAGAGAGGGTGCTGACATCGCTAAAATTGAATATTGCTAAAAATTAATTGCCTATTATTTGTAATAGCTACTTTAGTAAGCATTTTAAAATCGCTAAAATTACTTCTCACTAAAAATATAATTCCAGATTTGGGGTAGAAATCGCTAAATTTGCGTCTCGCTAAAATTTCCACTTATGGAGCATGTTTTTTACGTGAGTGACAAATCTGTCTCAAGTTACAGAATTTCATATTTTATGTAGCTGTCAAAACTCTCCAAGGATTGCCACAGTCAACAAGTAATTGCATTTTAAATAGAGTTTGTCAGAATTACAATTTGAACAGATATTCAAAAACAAGTTCAGTTAGTAGAACTCGGTAATACATATACTGTTGAACTTAATTATTTCTATCACAGATATCATGAATACCTGGGATATTTGAAGTGAGTTGGCAAACCCGATGATGTTTTTTTTTTTTTTTGCACATTATCTGGAACCTTTGGTTATATCAAAGTTTAATTTTGGTCCTGCCAAGTTGGAGCATCCTTCCAATGCCCAGGGGTTCTGAGTCGGCATATTTCATTCAGGATTAGTAGCCTTACTCCTCTCATTGAGAAGCACCAATCAATTTAAAGCTTTCATAAACAGTAAGATAAGGATTCAGTCGACACCTCAAATGCATGTGTTACAAGTTGTTTATCACAGAATGGCTTAATGTGATTGGTTGAGAAATAAGAAAAACAATCAAGATTTGTAATTTTTCCGAAATACCTCGCTATAGTCAGCCAACAAATATTGCGTGAAATATGCCAGGGGTTGAATGTGTTGACTCGGGACCTCTGTCTTGTGAGGATGAGTTGGAGATGATGAGGTTTCACTGCGCGTGACATCTTTACCCCTAAAAGTATGAAATGTCCCTTTATTGCTTATTGTCCTTGTTAAAAGCATATCAGATATCTTGTTGGAGTCCTTCATTGAAATTCTCTGCATGGTCAGTGGTCAATATCAAGACAATTAGAAGATACAGTCCAGTCTTATTAATCTGACTGTTCTTAATACCAACCAAATAGTCTGGATTAATGAAGCATATGGATTACTTAATTGAAAATTTTAGAAATTGGAATTCTAGTCCCTGCAAATCTGCTTCGACAGAAGAATTGTAATGATTTTTGACATGTGGATCAACCAGGCCTTATTGTACATAAAAAAATACCTTACCTCTGTCAATAGTTCTTGGCTAATCTTTCTGATACGTTGGGAAAAATACAGATGGTATGAAGAAACAAAAAATCGTACTTGAATTATTTATATATATTTATTTTTATTGTAGAAAATATTGCTTTGTTCAAACATATTGCAAATAAATATATACTTAGGGATTAGACATGTATTACAAAGAGTTGACGAGTATACAATATATGCAGTGCACTGTACACTTATATTGCTAACAGATTGGCTCGATCTCCAATAAAAATATAGATATCTATATCGATATGTTTCAGAAATTAAATTGTATTTTCCGAAAGTTTGAAGAATTCATTTTTCATATACAAAAATTAGAGCATATTTTTCATAAAGTAAAAAGTCTCAGGAAATAACAACTGTGAAGACATTTCGGAGAAGATTGTCCAGTTGAACACATAACAGTATAAGGTCTGCTAGAGCATGTACATATAATATATAGAACACCGATTACACTTTGAACAAGCATGTGGGATAAAATAAAAATGTACATAGACAAACAATAATAGCAGTACATGTGTATATGTGGTACATATAATATATGTATATGGGAAAATGAGTTGGTTAAACCTGAGACATACAAGAACAGCAAACAAACTTAACAATGTGTATACAAGCACTGATAATTACCTACAAAACACAACTCACAGTGTCAAAAACAAGGAAACAAGTGTCCAGCATATAGTGTATCTACCGGTACATTCTATATGAATGTTTTTACTCTTGCATGTATATTTTGTTACAAATTTTAAAAACTAACCCTTAACAGATTAAAACCTTGAGACACAATTCTTTATCACAGGACCTTTCAGAGACAAAGCTTATATGTATTTGATTAACTATGAGACCCTCATGAGATATGTATTATGTACCGGTAATGTATATATGCCTATATCATTTTACCCATAAAACCATTATCAAATATTCAAACAAATTGGTAGCATAATACTGTAGATCACCAAAATTTTTGTGCACCTTATTTTTGTGAGATATTTTCATATTTCTTTATTGGAGAGACAAAATGGTCACAAATTTATTCTCTTTATAATTTTTTTTAAACATATACATGAGAATGGATCTCATGAACTGATCATCTCACTTAATTACACAAAAGTTCTTACAAATGAAAAGTGATTTACAGCATATAAAAGATACAAGTGTAACAGGAGAGACTATGTTGAATGTATAACAGTTGGCATGTATCCTTTTATTAAAGCACTTCTGTTTTGTATAATGAATAAAATCAATATACATTTGTGCAGATACACATATTAAACCAATTCCTGCCATAAAAAAATCACTTGCCTATCCATAAACAGAATACTGTTTTATACTGTCAGAAAACCAAGTTACATTCAAGTGGAAATAACCTTTTGCTGAACAAAATTGCAAAATTGGTGTAGCCTGTTTTAAAATGTCTTACTAGGTCCTCGGTGCTATAACAGTAATACAAGTACTACATATGGTACTACTTCAGTACTTGGATAGTGCTGCAGTATCTTTCAGTACTTTGATGGTGTTAACTAGTGTCTTTGCAGTACTTTGATTATGGTATAAGTACTTTCAGTACTTTGATGGCATTACTACTTTGATGATGTTACCAGTACTTTCAGTACTTTGATGGTGATTCAGTGTCTTTATTCTGGTGACTTCTGGACCTTGCGACGTATCAGTAGATGTACTGGTCCATCGTCCAGGAACTTGAGGTGTGTCCAGGCCTCAGAGTGCCGCATGTTTGTGATGTCCAATCCATTGACCTCCAGAATCTCATCCTTGACCTTCAGCTTGCCACATTTCTCTGCTGGCCCACCTTGACAGAGATAGAGAAATTCTGATTTGTATGTAAACTGCATGTTGAGTTATATTTATATACATTAAATTTTGTCCAGTCTGCATGTTGTGTATTCCATAATATAGATTATTGAAATCAGTATAGGAAATTCAATTATTCAAAAGGAATGTTAACAAAATTCATCATCTAACTTAAAAAGCCCTTACGGATAACAAAATAATCTGTTGTAAATTTTAAAATTTATAGATACTGGTACATGTATTTTTCTCACGTGTCAAAAACATTTTATATATAAATGTACTCCATATTTTTCCCCCATAAATATATATGTACTTGACATTTACTTCAGTAAGATAGAACATTATATCTTTTTCTCAATAAATTATCACAATATTAACTTTTGTGTTTAAATTACATGCTGCTCTAGAAATACAGAAAAATGGAAATGGTTTTGCAGTCTTTCCTAGCTCCCCTTTATGATACCTTTGAATATCCTCCTGATGGTGAGAGGCTGGTCCCCCTTGGCTGAAGCCTTCCCTCCCTCAATCAAGAACCCCAGTCCTGTTACCCCCTTGTTCATCACCACCTCAAACGTATCTTTCTCTGCATTCTCATCATCAGAATCATCGGACGGTGAGGTCAACAGTTGCTCTATCCTTTCAAGTGGGGAGGTAGGAGACGATACTTTCAAAGTAAGAGAATATAGAATTTAACTTAAAAACATTCCTGATGGTGCCAAATTTTATGAAATATTACTCTTATAGTAAAATTGTATTTTGTTTTGCTTTTTTATCCCTTATTTCCATGATACATTTAATTTCAAGCAGAATATTCTGCTGTATGACTGTTTAATTTATTCAAATGAATTGTTATCAAATTGTAATGATATGTTTTAAAATAAACATGAGTACACACCTTGATTCAGATCACCATTGGATAGTGACTGCTCAGTTTCTTTAGGTTTCTCAGTAGGTGCAGTATTCGTCACTGTAGACTGTGTATCCAGTTTGGACTGTGTATCCACTGTGGGCTGTGTATCCAGTGTGGGCTGTGTATCCAGTGTGGACTGTGTATCCACTATGGGCTGTGTATTCACTGTGGGCTGTGTATCCAGTGTGGATTGTGTATCCAGTGTGGGCTGTGTATCCAGAGTCGATTGTGTATCAACTGTGGGCTGTGTATCCAGTGTGGATTGTGTATCCAGTGGACTTGGCATGTCCACACCGGAGTCCTGAGATCCTTGAGGACTTGACACCTCTGGAATGCTCACAGAAATGGAGTCTGGTCCTGCACTTTCTCCTGGGCCAGTTACATCTAAATCACTGTCTGGCTTGTTGTCCTCATGTGTATCCACATTTTCTGATGGAATCTCCACTTTTAAGTCTTTTATCTGCTGTTTAATTATTTCCTTTTCACTTTCATTTTCACTGGCCTCCTCAAGTGTTGTGCCTGTTGTTACCTCCCTTTTCTCATCCTCTGTTGGAATATCTGGTGGTTGTGAGACAGGAAGTGCTGGGGGAGGGGCTTCAGAATCATCACTTTCCTCCCCAGTTCTGGTTAGCACAATGACATGATTGGAGGTCGTGTCGTTGATTCCATTCATCACGGCTTCTGGTGAGAGAGAAGCAGCCGACACACCATCAAGGGAGATCACTCTGTCCCCTTTCTGAATGTGGTCCTCTCTGTCTGCCAAACTACCTTCCATCACTTCTGAAATCTAACATAGAGACAGAAATGTCAAATATGGCAATGCAAAATGAATTAAATAGGAAAAATAGGAATTAAATTCTATATGTATATGTACATGAAATCTGCTCTTAATAATTTAAAATTTTGATAAAGATACACGAGGATCATTAATTTCAATATTTTCTATTTGTTTTAGTAAAAATGGGTATCAATGCATGAATTTTGATTAAAGTTCTGATGGATCTAGAATTTTTCCAAAAGGAATTCCAGTACATTAAGATCAACAGCAATTTTAATTGACCTGACTACTGACTGAGAATAATGATAACCACTTATTACCTTTATATGAAAACAACTCTGTAAAATTCCTAAAATTGTTACAACTGGTTACACATGTACTTTTGTAGCTCTTACAACCCTGGTAGTCGAGATTCGAATGCTAACTCTAAAACTGACCCCTTATAGCATGACATAAGTCACCACTAGGTGTTCAAAAATATTGAGCAATAAAAGAAACATTGAGTGTTGTGGATCAACACCTGATGAACGTGATTAATATCTGTGACCACGGCCCGGGGCCTCTGATTTTGTGACAGTTTCTACTGTGGAATGTTTTTACATAATGTTACATAGAAAAGAAGATTTCATGGATTGACAGGTTACTTACCAACTGTTCAGGCATAAAACATCAATGTTAAAACTCAAAACAAATATTCAAGGAATGTGTATAAATAGTAAGGCTTGAAATTTGACAGGAAAACTTATACCTATATATTTGCAATGCTCTATTTACTACAATAGTAAAAAAGATTAATTTCATAAATTTTTCTTTCTCTATGGGACATACATCCTTTTTTTCTGACTCTAATAATAACCAAAATCCCTTAGTGAAAAAGAATAGATTTTTTGAATGTTGATATTTGTGTTGGACTTTTTATCATGGCGATCAATCAGACACTATGATAATTAGTCTGAGTAAATTGTGTGGGAGACACACAGTCTGACCACTATATCACCAAGGTGTGGGGTTGATAGTCCACAAAATGACCAATCAATGAGCTTCGTCTCTGTACAAACAGGTTTTGTTGTATTTGACGTATTATTGGTATAGCTATAAATGTGTCATTTGTATCATTACTACTCTATATTTGGTCAAAACTCTTTATAACATAATGTTGACATTCAGTGAAGATTTTACTGTGTGCAGACATATCATTTGATATATGACCACATCTCCTTATTTTCCTGCATATCAATTAGAGCGTATTCAAATAAGAAATGTTCTGTATTTTAATTTTCTTTCCTTGCCAATGATTTTCAAAATTCTTTAGTCCCTTTTCACTGACTTCACTTCACCGAAGACATACCTCAAACAACCAATACAATAAAACACAATCCATTTTTTTTTAATCACTTTTAAATTACCCCCAAAAATTGAACTTGAAGGATTGTTAGTCTTTATTGTGCAATTAATGTTCCAGTGCCTCTTAATTATTATGATTTCAATTAACATCATTGATTCATGAAAATCTAAACAATTTTTTTCCATATGAAAATTCATTCTTTTATTGAAGAAAACTGGGAGGGGGCTTCCAAAAGGGTTTTCCAGATACAGTATTTATGTCACTTGTCTGTTGTACATAATTGTACAAATATAAGATATGTGCATGCATTTGGATTTGGATTTTTTGATGATCAAATCATGTGAAAATATACCAATTGTTGAACTTGTTTATTTTTATGCAAAACATTATATGTATAATGCCCAAGATTTGTCATGCAGATAACTCCTCTTATAGTTTTTAAAAAGGTTTTATTTTGCAGAGCAATTGTACCGGTACTTGCATACTAGTATATATATCAGAGATGAGCAGAGAACTTGGATTTTTAATTTTCTTCATTTAGGTGCAAAATACAGGTTGCTGAACATAGCTTTTTCTATTAAAGTAAAAAAGTTCATAGCTGATTAGGATACATAAAATAATTTGGATGTCTGCTAAATTTCAGATAAGAATTTCAAAGTTTTTACCTTAATTTATGTAAGAATAACAGTAAAATATACAAATAACCAAAACAAAAAAAAAAAATTAACTTTTACATTGGAAGTTTTGCTATCATTAATTTCATCTTTCTCTTATTTTAAATTCTACAGAGGAATGACCTATATATAGGTTTACTTACCACTAAATAGCCATCCTGGTCAGCAGTCAGCTGCAGCCCTGGACTCTCTCCCTGGAAATTTGAATTCAGAAAGACAAGCACAATCCTGGCATCCAGTCCAACTCCATAAGAGTCCAAGTCACTGTTATTCTTGGTCAGCAAGGTTTCCAGTTCTTCTGGTGACATCTGATCCAAACATCCACCAATATCCTCCACATTAGAAAAATCAGGCCCAAATCTCTGGTCTCCAACACATACAAACCACGATCTTTGACTTTTTATGGTAGAAAATTTTCCAGAAATGAATTCAGTCTGAGAAATGTCTCCTCCTAATAAATCTATTGGAGAAGTATCAACACTTTCTTCATTTAAAACAATTTCAATATTTTCCAAGTCTCCCTGAGAATCATCAATGTTAACATCACTATTTACATTATCATCTGCCATGTCTCTGCCAGGGTGTGGATCTTCACTTAGTTGTTCTGTATACAATTTTGGTTCCTGAATTGAGAGAGTATTAACAATATTATCCCCTACTGAAGCTACACTAGGCACATTAACCACTTCCACAGACATGCTAACTGGATTGGGTGAATCCAAAACAACATCATTACATGCAACAGAAGCATCATTGGAAACAGACATGCATTGGTCAACCTGAACACCACCGTTTTCATGTGTTAGTAAGTCATTGGATGTACTTGCAGATGTTTTAGTAGCAGAGTTTGCATGACTAGCATGGTTATCACTCTCCTTTAGCATCTCTGCAGCAATGCTTTCTGCAACAGGGTTTTGATTCATTGAGTATGTATCAGTTGACGGCACCTCCTTTTCAAAAGAGTCAAGTTTTTGCAAGAAAGCACGCAAGCTTTTTGTTTCCATAACCGCTACAGGACATGTTTCATGCACTCTTGAGAGTTTGTTGTCTACTTTCTTACCTGCTTCATCATCTTCTTCTGCTTTGTCTTCTGCTTCTGAAGCTTTAAATTCATCAATTCCCTTTTGAATAGCATTTCTAACAATTTCTTCAACAAATTCAAACAATTCATTATCAGAGTCATCTACAAGCAAAGATTCTGATGTGACTTCATCTATTTTATCTTTAACATCAGAGCCATTGTTTACTTCTTCTACATTTGATATACATGTATTGACTTCTACATTCATAAAATCAAAGCCTGGTGAAGTCACATTGTTTTCTTGTGCATTATTTTTTGTGAGTGCAGCAGCAGTGTCTTTTTGTGATTCTGTGCCATTTACAACATTGAAATTAATGCTCTGTGCTTCAGGTGCACTAGCAACATTTTCTTCAGAGGAATAAGCTGTGTTTAGTTGATCACTGCTCAGCACACAGGGTTGCTCTATGACTTGGTCTGTGTTTTCAGCATTAGGATTGATGCTGTCATCAGATGGCATGGTGTTTGCTGGTGAGGTGTCTGGTACAGTGCTTTCTGGGGGTTTGTCTGAGATGGATCCCCTGGGTCGGGGAACAGGTTTGGTAGGACCTTCTGGAGGTGACCTCACAACAACTTCATCTTCCGGGGATGCTGTGATAGTGGGTGAGTGCTGGGTGGTGGGGGTGACAGGACTTTTGGGTGAGGATAATGGTGAGCCAGTGGTATGCTGATCCTCCATCTTACCTTTTGTTCTGTTTCCAGAGAAAGATGCTCCAAATGAAAACTTATCCTCACTCTTCCTACGGGGACTCAAAGCAGAGTTCATCTTCACAGGTGAGATTTTGGTGGAAACTTCTTCATATGCGTAGGGTGAGTATGGGATATCTTTTTTCTCTGGTGAGGAGCCCTTGGGTTTAGCAGAGGACACATAATCCACATGTCCCTTGGGAATCATCTTTGGTTCTGGACTATTTTTATCCTTTGAATGCCCTATGGAATGGCGTGACATAGCATTCATTTTGTTAAAATCCACAGATGCAAACACTACAGTGTCAATAGGCTCTTTTTCTTCTTTTTCATGAACTGTTTTTATGGCAGATGACACATAATCTGCCTTCTTTGGTTGAATGTGAGGTTTGTTGTCGACTGCTTGGTATTCCTTCTTTCCAAAGGAGGATGTTCTTCCTATAGCTGAGCTGACATATCCCCCACCTCCCCAATGGGAACCAGTTTTGCTGATATGATCAGGTGAAGAAGCCTGTTTTGGTTTAGGTGCCACTGGTGGTGGAGTCTTTTTTGCTCCGGGTGCATACTGGTCATGTTTAACATTCACCTTTCCTGTGGACTCATCTTCTGATTTTTTATTTGTTTCTGGTGACAACTGATTGTGGTTAACAGTCACTTTCACAGAGGACTCTTCTACTTGTGTCGTAGAGCTTGGTACACTTGGTTGTTGTGGTGATGAAGGAGATGACATACGTTGTCGTGGAGACAGTGAAGGTGATAGTGAGGCTGACTTTGACATTGTTCTTGGAGATGATAAAGGTGATTGTCTGGAATCATTGTTGCTGAGACTGAGCTCTGCTGGTCTGGCAACCCCTTCTGTAAAATAAGAATGTTGACTACTTATGTATATATATTGTGTATGAAATTAAGTGAAACAGGGATATTTCTTTGTTTATGAAGACAATATGTGTTATCATATTAGATGAGATTATGAGTACATTTGTACCTGATGATGGAGGTTTGATTGACACCAGTATTTTTGCGATGCCCCGGGGTAGGAGTCGGAGTATCTGTTGTACTTTGCTGTCAGGTAGACCTGTTAATTCTGTGTTGTTGATGGACAGCAGGAAATCACCAACCCTTTAAGAGGAAGCAAATAATTGAAGAACACAGTGTCACATATATATATAAAATAAACAATTTTAAAATGGGTATCATTTGTTCAGACTGGATTTACATTCATTATGCTATTTCTTTCCTGTTAACAGTTAAATTAATGCTTAATTACTTTCTTTATCTCATTATTCTCGTCACTCCTCCCAATTTTTGTCTTCTTTAGAAAAAAGATTTACTTATAATGTTGCTCCTTCAGCGATATATTTCAGATAAATTTCTTCATTGATCCAGTAGTTCCGTATAGATATGAATGCCATATAACATTATTCAAAGCAATATGAAATTGCTAAACATAAACTCAAATATCATTCTGATCAAAAATGACTGTTTTATTCAAACTAAAAGTCTTATACTTAATGTGAACAGCTGTCAAATATCAATACTATGTTTGTGTAATGAACAAAAATCCTACAATTTGTATGTTATTATTACACATGTATGTTTACAAATAAAGATAAAAGAACTGAGCTTGAACTTCATAAAATACTGTGAAATCAATAATTTTTATAGGGGGTTGATTTTCATGGTTTTTGTGGTATGAAAAGACCCACAAATTCATGTATCTTATGAACTGTAAAATTTCAAATATGTGACGTACAGCTCATGTATTTTCAACCTTGAAATCAAATCCCCACAACCAAAGCACAAAAGTTTGACCCCACAAAAATATGTGAATTTACAAATAAAGCATTTACCTGATGTTACCATCCTTTGCAATAGGCCCACTTGGTTGAATCTCATCTACTTTGACAAACCCCTCTGGTGTAAGGCTCACTTTCAGTCCTAGCCCCAGAATCCCTTTGAGTACACTCACTAAAAATGACTCCTCCTCAGAGCGAGTATTCTTTGTGGATGTTGCTGTTCCATGAATTGTTGAGAGCAGGGATGGCCTTCCTGAAGATAGAGAACTAGAAAGACTGGAAGGCTTCCCCAGAGAAAATGTCTTAGCACTAACAGTTATTGGCTTAATGGAAGAGAGGGGCCTTAATGTTGCTGACGGGGTGTTTTGTGACCTTATGGTACTGAGAAGACTTGAGGGTTTGGTTATTCCTATGGAGGACTTGAAGGGCGATGATGGTGAAGCTTCTGTGGTTTTGGGAATGGTTCCAGAGAGAACATTGTCTTTCGTTGCTTTAGATGACACAGATATGGGGGCTGTTTTTTCTATTTTGGGCTCTGGTGTGACTGTTATGCTTTCTTTTTCAGGAGGCTTGGTATCCAATCTAGAACTGACGACAGTAACATTTTGTTGACCTGTAGTTTCTGTATTCACTGGTTCTGATGATTTACCTTCACTGTACTTATCTGTTAAAGGAGCAATTGAATCTACTTTTTCAGTTTTCTTTTCCACATTAGCAACATCAATTGACACAGGGGATATTACTTCAATGACATTTCTGTGAACCTCTTGTTCTCTTGGTTCAATTTCTTCCCTAGTTGTTTCCACCTTGTTTACCTGTGCTAAATCTTCATTATTTTCTGTCTTTTTCTTCTTAGAATTTATCACATTTATAACACTTTTTAAATTCTTATTCTCACTTTCGTCTACACTGTCTTTACCCTTACTGGCAGATTTGGACCACATATTTGTGATAACTGCAATTTTAGCTGCATTCCAGCTCTGGTCTTTTTTCACAACCACTGGAACTATTTCCTCTTCCACCCCTACACCTAGCTTTTTATTAAATTCCTTATGTACACTTTGCCTGTCTTTGAATTCTGCTTTCACCATCTCTTCTTCCACACCTTGTTCTTCCTCCATGCTGGATTTAGGGGGAGTGGGCTCCTGTTTAACACTGATAATGGTTGGTTTGACTCTTGGCTGAGGAACTGGTTTTGTTGGTTGCTCCTCTTTTTTGACCTCGTCTAACTTTATAGTGGCTGAAGCTGGTGTCCTCTTGCGCTGTTCAACTGAAGGAATAATCTGCTCCTCCTCTATTTCAGATGGACCAGCAGACGGCACAGTTATAGTGGATGTGAAGGGAATATTCTTATTCCTCTGCACTGTAACAGGGACAACAAATTCATCATCACTGTTGGAATGTTGAACATCTAAATCAATATCCTCGGTATTGACAGGGGCAGGGGGAATAAACGGCTCTGACTCAACTTCCTCATCTGCATCAATATTCTGATCCTCCTTCTGAAATTGGTAGTCATTATCTCCCTGTAAACTGTCCATCATTTCTAATTCCCCCTCTTCTGGAAGGTTTTCATTAAAATAGGTAAAAGAATTGTCCAGAGACCCATTCTCATCCCCATGTAATCCTGTCAAGGATTCCAAGTGACGGGTTTGATCTTCAGTGTCATCCATTTCTGTTTGTGGTATGTAGGAATCCTGACTTTGTACTACTGGAGAATGGCTGTAGGATTTAATGATTTCATCAATATTTGTGACAGGAATTCCATTGTTTGATTGGTTAAAAATTAGACTTTGACCCTCTGAGAACTCAGCAGGTGGTGGTACTGCCGGTCCATATGTTGAAAACTCTACTGGAGGAGGAACCGCATAATTCCATGATTCAGACGATTCATCCATTTTTGATTTTCCTGAGGTAAACTTATGATCTCTTTTAGTATTATCAGTGTCACTATTTTTAATTTTTTCTACGTTTGGCACTTCTGATTTTTGATTTTGTTCACTTAAATTCTGACCTAGTCCAGTTTTATCAAAATACTGAAACTTGTTGAGCACCACTTCATTATCAGAGTCCGATTCTGGAAGATCTGCGATGAAATTTTTCCTCTGCTGACTGGGTGAATGTAAAGTCAACGTAGAGTCAGTATTAGAAACTTTCAGTGAAATCTCAAGCTGATCTTCATTTTCCTTTGGTCGAAGTAATTCCAATTCTAAATCACCCGAATTTCCTTCTGATTTCAGAATAGAAAGACACTTTGATTGTGACACATTACGAAGACTGATTCCATTACAGGACACTAGTCGGTCTCCTACGCGTATGTGTCGACTCCGGGCAGCCGCTCCACTTGGTAGAAGTCTCTTGATCTGAAAAATACATCAGAAGTTAAATTTTTCTATTTCAATAAAACCCTGCACTAAAAAGTAATAAAATTTGACAATTTGTATAAGCAGACTAGGTTGAACACCTTGCACTAATGACAGGAGTCAGAGTGCAGTACACCTTGCTTTCTGTGGTGAAACATCAATCAGAAGTGATGTTTTAAGGACATTCATCTTGTCTTGTCAAATCAGATTACCTTAACCAGCCCCAGTTTACTGTGACGTCAACAGACAGAGGTATCTTATTTGATAAACTGTTTACAAAAATATTTCTTGGTTTTGACTGCTTAGAATTCAATTGTTTCCTTCTTTCAAGGTCAGAGTGAGAGAGGCAAATTTAAACCAGACTACATACCGATGCTTACTAGCTGGCATAAACAATACATTCATTAAGAACATAGTCACCCACTCAATTATTATACATCATTAATTTACATAAATTCACTTGAAATTCAAAACACATCATATTTTCATGACTTTCTCTTGAAACCCATAAACATATAATATCTCTGGTGGCAATTTTTAAGCTGTTTGAAATTTCATTACATTTGGCAGAGGTTTAAGAAGAAAAAGAGAGTAGAGCTCCGAGTATCAATTCCAGGTGTGTAAAATGTAAACTCACTCTCAAAGAGATGACACGGACCAAATTCAAATGTTTAATTTTGTCATCAGAATCCCTCTCAAAGTAGGAAAGTCAACAAGGGTTTATAAAATGCAGACAGGAAATAATTAATAACATGGCGGCACTTGTCCGGAATCACAGGCGACTTTACAAACAAACTCTCAAAGTATGTTACATAACTGTCAAAACATGAAATATGCCGCATTGAAGTATTGAAATTACACTGCATTGATATCTCTAATCCAATTTTAAAACCCCAGGATTCATAGAGACCTGAGCCATTGGAATATCCTTATAGATGAAATACCTGTATTTACTCTTCAGTCTTTCACCTCTAGTACTCACAGCCATGTATATATCTTTATAAAAACACAACTGAACTGTCTTTAATCAGTAATCCAGGGTTGAATGCCTGGGTAAAAGAAACAGGTTTGTCTGCCTAACCTTAACAAGTCAATATTTTTGTATTAAATGGAGCAACTTGGAGAGATTAGGGATGACACATACAGAGAATTCCACCAACGAGGTCAATATCAATAACAACACAGGTACTCCGGTGCCATGAAAATCAAATCCACTATTTAATTACATAATCTCTCTCTTACTAAATATTTTGTACCCAAATTTCAATAAATACAACTGTATAGAACTTGCAATTCCATTCCTTACATTAATTAAATATACCAGTACATTAATACAAAATTAACGAGGGCACCTCAGAGATGAGCAATATACCCTTGAAAAGAGGATATCTATAAATTGTGGCAGCATTTGACATCAATCTGGATGCAAATTATGTCAGTTCAATTACATAACCCACAAACAATCACACACACAGAGTTGCCTTACTATATCCCCTCAAACTCCATTGCGAGAGGATAATATCCTTTCCATCAAATTTCAATTTATATCTTGGTTATGTCTTTCATGTGCAACAGGAAAGGAGAAAATGTATGGCTGGACCAGGAATCGAACCCGGGACCCCTGCATCACTACTCACTAGTCAGGTGCTCTACCAACTGAGCTAGCCAGGCCGATATCCATGGCCCAAACCATTACATTCCTCCCTCCTTAAATGGTCTTCCCCCTCGAAGACACAACCCAAGTTCTTATTAGTCCCTGGCAGGACTTTAACCTGCAATTCCAGGGGTGGTCAATGGCACCAAATCTGTAACAGGAAAGGAGAAAATGTATGGCTGGACTGGGAGTCGAGCCCAAGACCCCTGCATCTCTAGTCAGGTGCTCTACCAACTGAACTATCCAGGCCGATATCCATGGCCCTAACCATTACATTACAAACTGTTACACAGGCAAATGCAATCACTAGTATTCAAAGGTGTTGTTTCAAAAAATAATGTGTGCAAATGTACCATGCAATTAAATTTGATCAACTTCCTTCATGCAGGTAGAAAAATAACAGAAGGAAAAAAAATAACTGTAACAATTTTGAAATCTATGTATTAACAAAACCAAATGACTTCTTTTATGTAGAAGAATCTTACCTTATCAATAATAATGCTAAACCCCCAAAAAGGATTAAACTGAAACTTATACGAAAAAATCCTTAATGAAATGGTAAATTGAAGATTGTTGGAGCCTTTAATGGCAGGAGCCAATTAGAGAGAAGGTAGGAAATCACTTAATCTAAATCAATATTCCGGGCTGTACAAACACTTCTTCCCTGATATAAACACTTTACCCTGTCTGAGGGGCCAAGGTAAGTGGTCATTATAGGACATTACAAGGGGACCAGAAATACCAGTCAACAGTCTACATTACCAGAAACCACTGACCAATTAGACACATCCTTGTGTGTTAGGGCAACACTTGTATGTAGTAAACATCCAAAAACAAACTTAGTTCACTTGCAAAAAATAGTCACCTTTAAGTAACTCAATATGTTATTAAACCAGTGAAAATATTGAAAATCATATGGCATTTCTTTATCTTGAATATCAAGCATACCATTGCATGATGGAACTCCATAGATCTGATAATGGGTATGTTGACTTAATTGGTAAACAGAGGAAATCCATCTTAAGACTTAATTACACACCAACAGACAGGGATACCACCCATAGCAGGGACTGAGACTTAAATGAGAATGACAGAAGGATACTACATGTAATAAGGTCTCAAGTGGGACTCTTCCAAAAGTTTATCATTTTATCTGATATCTAAGCTCAGGCCTCCTTGATCATGTTCAAACTACCTTGAATCCTTTTCAAGATACATGTATTAATTAAAAGATACTTTTCAATACACATTAGCCATCAGGCAAAGAGAACATTTTCAATATATGCTGTATTTGAAGTTTGCATACTGGTATACATGTATGCATTTATTAAACCCATTAAGCATTCAGATAAGATCTCACGCATTTACCATAATAGAACAAAACAGACTATATCATGAATTAATTCAATCTTGGAATGTGCATACAATTTACATATAATTTATTATATACCACTGCGGCAAAGAAAATGTTATGCCAAACAAGTTTTCTGACTGTAACATACAGGTATCTACAGGCAAAACATAGTGGGTAAAAAAATGCGCATAAAATATCGGCCTATAGTAATTAAAATTAAAAAAAAAAATGTGTGAAACTGAATTTTGTTTGTTTTGGATAAACATATCACCTTTATTTTTACCACATTCTAGATATAAAACAATACAGGGGAAACCCTCGAGACCAATGTAAGTGTTCGTGGTACTCCATGAAGCAATCTGAGCTATGTTGGTCTAGTAACCGATACTTAACATAACCAAATAAAGTATGGGCCACCATGAACATTCAATTACTTTATCTTTTACGAATTCCTTCTCAAAGTAAAGTATCTAAGTTTTAAAAGAGAAAATTAACTCACATGTGACCAACTTTTTTGATAAATTACTCCAATGATTGCCTGGTTGTTTCAAAATTAAAATGATAGGCAGTCCACACCTTGGAAAAACCTGACCAACTTCTGAAAATATTTCATATCCATATCTTATCAAGCTAAAGACTATTGTATGTTTGTGCAGTTTTAATCAAAAAGGCAGCCCTCAAGATAATTTAGAGATTATTGACAATTTTTGAAGTACCTTTGGTAATTATGCTGTATATGCTGAATCTTATGTTTTTGTTCATTTTTTTTTTTTTTTTTTTTTTTTTTTCTTAATTCAAAATATCCTTGTTCATAACAAACATAGCATTCCCACTGAAAAATTGTTTCAAAAAGTTGTAATCAATGCCTTACTCTCTAAAACAACATGTCAACAACCCATGTATACTAGATGTAATATGACCTATCTATTAGCCTGGAAACTGGGTGGATCAAATCGACTGACATTCCTGCAGGTAAAATCCAGGTAACCCTTTGATACGCTGTCCTGTAAGATTGAGAACAGACGTATAACTTTACATGTTAGAACAGCTGTCCCCAAATTCCAGAGATACGCTGCATTCTAAGGTGCATGTAAATTTAAGATGACAATTTTTTAAGTCTCTGCCCTTAGGAAATGAAGAAACATGAAGTGATCACTATCATATCTTAGAAGGATGTGTTTTGATTTTACATCTTAAAAGCCTAAGTAACATTAATATTTCTAGGAAGTACTTACATTAATTATTTATATAACATGCTTCAATAACTATAATGGTATAAACAAGATCTTGAGGACCCTTTTTTCTATATACATACATGTACCGGTACAATTTACTTTAAATTCTAAATTGGCAATGAGGAACAAATGAAGTGAGCACTAAAGAATATATTCCTTCATTACATGTATTTGAAATCGGGTTTTTTTTAATGCTAAATAGTTAAAAAAAAAAAAAAGCTATCACCATGTGTAACATTTAATTTTTTTTTTACATTCTTACCATCTCAAATATCTATAAAATTTGAATATGTCTTAATTTTTTTTTACAGACATGCAATTGACAGTAAAATTAAGAGACATACCTATAAATGCTGTATCAATGCTTTGGGTGCACAGTGATAGAGATGTGTGCAATACCATAACTTACAATCCATTTTCTCAAGTAAGCTAATATAATTGAAAGAAAGACAAATATTTTTCGGGGGGGGGGGGTTAAAATCATTCAATATACAGAAAAACAAAAAATAATCACAACTGGAATAAGAAATATTAGTAAAGAAATGCATTTGACACTCCCATTCAAACGTGATTTTCTAGAACTTAATTGTCATTCACTTGAAATTGCTCAACCATTAAAGACCAATTTCTCTCCCACAATTAACTAACATATACATGATCGATCTTTAAACACAGATCAAAACCACTGTCCTTGAAAATACTTGTGAATTTAGATTAAACTCACAGACTATTTGCAATCTAGATAAATTGAAAAAAATTACAATCCTCTTATTTCTTGCATTTTATGCTAGACTCAAAGATGTCAAATCAAGCATACCTTACAAATGATCAAGTTTTCCAATGAAGAGACACTCAACTGTTCACAATATACTTATGTGGCCCCAGTAGGAATAATAGATCTATCTCACCTGTTTATAAATTGATTATCTGGCCCTCTGACAGGTGAAATTTTCACCCGATTACAAGTCCATACGTAACTGTACTGGATAAAACACAAGATTCACCATCAATACACCACTAATATCCTGTGAAGGTGACGGAATTCACTTTTCTGTTTGAGTGCGAGGTCTCGCCTACATTGTATAGAAGAGGTTATCCTGCGTAAACCCTGTGCGATCAGGCACTCATAACTAGAATTTTAAAACAGCTTAATTTTTTCTCATAATACAACAATAGCCAAGGGTCTAGTGAATGGATTCAACTGTGTGACAGAGTTTGACAGACAGTCCAGCTTTCCCTTTGAATTATCCAATACTGATTGTCAACGTAGTTTTTCAATTTGAAATAATTTAAGGGTTTTAGAAAGAGGACTTGAACATTTGAATTAGAGAGTAAATGGCTATTAATTATAAACAAATAATATGATACAAAATCTATATCAAATCATTATATTTTTTTGGCGGTTGCGATAACCTTAAAAAATATAACCATAAACAAACAAGTTCAATCTTCACTAAACAGCAAAAGCAAACTTTTTAACTTACCTTTGAAGTTGTTCCTTAATCCTACAGGAATTTACTTTACTTTTTACTCCGAGAAGATGCAATTGCTTGTATTAATTAAAACATTTTGTAATTACATGCCACACATGACATCGAGGTATTTTTTTCATCAATTTCAGGTAACGCGACACCTGGAGAGCCCTTTATTAACTGTACGGAGAAAATGATTGTATCACCAAAAATCAATTGATAGAAAACGATCCATGCATCAATACACAGGACAGGACTAAAGACTGTGTGTCAGATGTCGACTGTAAAATGACTGGGACTGAATTTTTATGCATGCAGGTAGACATGTACAGTAGACTTCACAGATAATTCAAATTTACCATGCCTTCAAGTATACACACATATCAGGGTCAGAATTAAAACAGTAGCAAAAAGCTGTCTATTTAAAATTTACTGCCAACATAGGTATTTATATAAGATCAATAACTGTAAATCACTCCTCTTCACTGAAGATTGTTTAAGTAAACAGAGAATGAAATATGGATTTCTGGTAAGTACAGATAAAGGACTCTCCTATGACTTTGATTAGAGCAGGGGGTCACAGTAACATATCAGTCTGGGAGGGAACCAAGGCTTAGTGTAATTCTACTGGGGAGGAATGTAGATACAGTACACACCTATAAACAATAGATAAAGGATGCTTTTAGATACACATCATTTGAAGATATAGGTATGGTAGGAGGACAAATTTCCAGTGCATTAAACATATTAAAAAGATTTGGAAACACAATTTCTTACCCTAAAAGGAACAATTAAGAATGGTCTAACACTTTTCATTCAATAAGGGATGGGAAAAGTTTTATATCCTAATTTGGGTTAGGGGAACATGTACGTTATATCCTATCCTACTTTTAGTAGACTTTTTAAGGAATGATGAGGACAGTATATTTTCTAATGGTGATGAGAGGGAGACAACCAATATTCCTCTATCTTATGAATGAAGAACATACAATCTTGTGTACTAATGGGAAGTCGTGGGCACCTCTGTGGATAACTATGAATTTCATCTCATTTATCCACCTTGTGAGACATATGGTACTCTGTACCTTGTTTTACAGGTCTGAAGACTTGTAAGGTAGACTCTGCTGGGGTGCTGTGGAAAATAAACTCTTGGGATACTTTGGACAATCCACTACTGGAGTGCTTTGGAAATAATATACTTATTAAATATGAGCTCTTCTGATGATACGTAACATCACTGCATCTTTGGACAATATACTACTGGAGTGCTTTGGAAATAATATACTTAATACGAGGTCTTTTGACAATACATCACTGCATCTTTGGAAAATACACTACTAGAGTGCTTTGGACAACACACTACCGGGGCACTTTAAACAATGCATTACCCAGGGTTCTTTGGACAATACACCATTGGGGTGCTTTGGACAATATAATTCTGGGTGTACTATTGGGTTCTTTGGACAATACACTAATTGGAAAAGCCATTGAGGTGCATTGAAAATATACATATGAGTTCTTTTCACAATATATCACTGGATCTTTGGACAATACACTACTCAGTTTGCTTTGGACAATACATTACTGGGTTGCTTTAGACAATTCACTACTGGTTTGCTTTAGACAGTACACTACTGGGTTTGCTTCGGACAATACACTACTGTGTTTGCTTTGGACAATACACCATTGGGGTGCTTTGGACAATACACCATTGGGGTGCTTTGGGCAATACACCATTGGGGTGCTTTGGGCAATACACTACTGTGGTGCTTTGGACAATACACCATTGGGGTGCTTTGGGCAATACACCATTGGGGTGCTTTGGGCAATACACCATTGGGGTGCTTTGGACAATACACCATTGGGGTGCTTTGGGCAATACACCACTGTGGTGCTTTGGACAATACACCATTGGGGTGCTTTGGGCAATACACCTACTGATGTACTTTGGACAATACACTACTGGGATACTTTGGACAATACACCATTGGGGTGCTTTGTACAATACATTCTCTCTTTTCTTTGGTAGCAATGGAAAACACTCCTTCAAGCTTGCAGCAATAATAAGCACCTATTATTGCCATGAAGTCATTAAACATTCATAGGCATGATTAGGACAAGTGCATTACAAGTGCAATAAAAAAATAATAAGTAGTTTTGTTCTCAAACAAAAGTTTTTGTTATATTATTAGAAAATGTATAAAAAATCTCTATATTTGATACAGATCTATAAAGGACACAGCAAAACAGGGCATCCTCTTCCAAAAGATCATATCTATCAAGCAGGGCAGCATTCAAATTTTAATCACAATGCAAATTACATCAGTTCTCAACAACTTTTTCAATTTTCTGATTATATTGAAATCTTACAAGAAAATATGGAAAGAAATCACTTTTCCGTTATCGGTATATATTACCATAAATCTGGAAATTTTTGCTGTAGATAAATTTTTAGCAAATTTTTTGTAAAAATAATTCAACAATAAGAAAATATAAACAAAGCAATGGTCCTTCGCAAAATTTTGAAACGTAAAAATTAATCAAAAGCATTTTTACCCAAATTCGCAAAATAAAATCGACGCAAAAATTTCCAGATTTACGGTACATGTATTATGATCTACTAGTAAGCATTAAACAATAAAGAATGTGTGAATACCATACTGTAATTTCATAAGTAACATATCAATTTGATCACACAAATGCCTATGGCAGGAAAAACAGTGTAATGTATATGTTTTAAAGCTTTAATTTTAGACCACCTTTCTTTTTGTACTTCTTACAATTTGAGGACAATTGCTTTAGAAATTTGTTCCTTTCAAGTAAAATCTGATAGAAAAGTGGCACAATTGACCTATTTCTTTGTTCACCATATAATCGCCTTTAGAATCAGTTTAAGTGTTTTTTAGTGTATTAGGCGGTGTATAGTAATACCGGTATATACAAAAGAACACCAGGGTTGAATTCATTTTTTGGTTTAAATTGCAAGATTTCATTTAAAAAGATGTTCTGAACTCTGATGAACTAGTGGTCAAAGGGAGGTTACTCTACATTTGAACATTTTCAAAATTGCCATTTTTGTTTTAATTTAATTATATGTATTAATCAAAATATACTTTCAATCTTTCAATATCTACTTATATTTATTTCTTCCAGTTTAATTTCAAAAACTGTAATTTTTCTAAAACATGTTTTCTTTAATTTTTTTTCACTGAGATATGTATATATAAAACTTTTCCCAATATGATCAAGTTACTGAGAAAACTGATATATTCATAAATTAATTTTACCTGGTAGAACTGCCGAGTTGAACCATAGCTAGGAACAATGCTCAGACCAAGACTCTCATTGGGGTGTTTATCGATCTCCACATGTATCTGAACGAAGCCATCAAACTTCCCGTCTTCCTCCTCACTCTCAGAGTAGCTGGAGGTCTCGGAATATACCAGCGGGCTTGGACTGTCCCCGAAACTCTTACTGCTGGCTAGGGACATGGCCGGGGATAGTTTGACTGCTGCGGGGGCTGTCCGCTTTTTCCCTCTGCTAATCTTCAGGATGACTCGCAGAGGCATCTCCCTGAGCACAGTTAAACACTCATCATGAGTTAGAATATTGAGGTCTGTTCCATTTATCTGTAGAATTTGGTCTCCTTCTTGGATCCCCTTCTTACTGCCTGTTGCTCTGTACGCAGCACCCCCTATTGTCACTGTCTTCACGTACACAGATTTAACTGTCTGGTGAGTTGGATCACTATCTATTCCTAAAATCATCCCAAGATTTTCACCTGGTAGTCGATGTAATACCAGCACTTCTTCTTCACTAGACTCGCCAGACGAGCCATCAATTTTCTGGTATCTCCCATACACACTGTGACCAGACGAACTCAGCTCGGACTCCGAGTTAGTCTCGTATGAGCTTGATGTGTCAGTGAGAACTGAACCGAGAGCACTCATCAGTGAACCTCCTAATGCACTATCTCGAGATGATTCTGAGTTTGTCCAGTTCAAATTAAACAGATTCTCTTTTCCTGGACCAAATGGATACTGATTTAAATTCCTTTTCTTAGGACTTTGCTCTGAGTAAAAATCACCTGTGTTGAAATTGTCCACATACGGAAGATACCCTCTTTTGTGTGGTGATCCAGATGGGGAAGATACAGATTTATTGGGAGGGGGAGTGGACATACCTTTCTCTGCAAAAGTTTGAATGTCAAGGTCAGAGAAATCGGAGTCTGTTGTACTTCCCTCCATTTTGGATTTTCCTCTGATCTCTAATGGCTTTGAAGGTGACACTGCTTTCGTCCTCTCTAAGTCATCAGTCTGAAATTCAAAAATATATTTCTAGAAATAAAGGTATATACTGGTAATCAGATTTTGTTTTTTTTTAACAGTGAAAAAAACACACTACCTGAATTTAACAAGTGGAATTTCATCAGGAAAGGAAAATGACACAACTTGAGGATATGAATAGTTTGTATGTAAATCTATTCAGTAGGAACCTTAAAGATATTGTGCTGCTTGCATCTATTCAAGATCATGATTCAAACTGCACTAAGAGACAGAAGGTTTTTTAATGATATATAAAGACAGTATGACTCATTAATTACAATATACTAAAAAAGACTGAAATTACAACAGAATATCTTGGCAATAAATTACCTTTTAAACCCTGTCCAGAAGAATTCTGCATATCTAAATATGGAATTCACAAAACAGACCAGTGTACATTCCTTGTATGGAGATTAACTGAATTATTAATGAAGGGGAAATTTCCTTATGCCAACGTACAATTAGACAAAGGCAGTCCATCTTTTGCAGTAAAAATCAATTGATTTACTCAAGTTTGCCAGACTACCCAAGATCATTTTTTTTTCACATGAAGATGTAGCTCTATGGAACTAAAGTAATTTCAGTAATGATTTATTTCAACCTGACTGCAAAATGTCCTTGAAAAGTTACTTCCCTTTATGCATCATTCAGCCAAAAAAAACTAAAAAATTAGGCCATATATATTGCGTTGGGTAATAGAAATGGGAATATCAATTTAATGAAATCCTCATCAATTAATAAATGAAATGACAGTTAAACTCACCTTATTAGCCATTTCTACAATCGCTGTAGTTGCCTGTACTTTACTTTGAAAATGGATTCCACATTCTAAATTCAAAGAAAAAATACGTTGGTTAAAATATTCAATACAATTTTTAAAAATAGCAATGAAAGGGAGACTATATGAAGGGCCAGCAGGTACTTGCTGGAATGTTACGGTATAGTTTTTCATGTATGATCAGACTTTTCACGAGTAATAGTAGTATTGGCGTATACATTATATGTGTTGCCACACATGTGACATATTCAGTGCCACACTTTTAGTATTAACAGCAATGTAATATAACATGAAAAAATCCTATTTCTGATTTGAATTAATTGATCGAAAAAAAGGTAATATTGACATATACATATAAAAATATACTCTACATCTTTTCAAAATTTGAGAAGAACATCTCCAACCAGATTCTCTCAGTATACCCCAAAGAACCTAATAAAAACTAAGGCCATATGCATGAAAACTGTACATAAGCTCCCATAAGCTCTGCCTATAGACACTTTTTATACACACCTGGTTATAAAGATATGTATGATACTCAGGACTTCATTCATGAATTTTATGAATTAATTGTGAAAGATCACGGGAAAAATGAAGACACAAGATCCACCTTCTCCTTAAAATGTCTCAATGTGCAATTCAGTAGGTAAGCCTATATGACAAGTAGGTCATATTTATAGATGTCACCAAATCAAATCCTGCCCAGATATCCAGACTCCTAGGATATCTATAACCATAAAAATATTTCATTGCCATTCTAAACCCCATTTAATCTCAGAAAGCAAACTTAAGTTTTTCTTACATTCTCTCCAAAAAAAAATATAGTTCCTTCAGTTCCTTACCTGTGACATGATTTCATTGTCTGATGCAAAACATGAAATATTTTACAATAGGATAGTTACTGTTCACTGGTTATAACCCCATATACAGATATAGGAAAGATAAAATTCCATGTCTACTGATAACAGGTTCATATTTACTCTGTCAGTAGGTTGTAGATGGAGATATAAATTATACACCAATGATTGTAATGGATTGATACCTAACCATCCCAAAAATGAGTCCACATTCCAGAGACTTCAAGGGAAACAATTCAGCATTATGTAACTCTGACATGTACTTATCTCCCTTTATAAATAGCAAAATTCCACCAAGACATTAAAATCCAATACCTGTTCACTTCTATATTTGATTACATTCTTTAAAGAACCATAAATTTAAGTGATAATAGCTTTGATGAATACTTGTATTACACTGGATGCATTGCCCACAAAATAAAACTGTCAAATGTAAGAATCATACACTATATATAGCACCTTTTACTTTTTAGTATGCATACCAAGTTTGTATAGAAATAAAAATACATTTACTGGGCAGTGACCTACTTAAATTCAAACAAACAGAGCTTATATTTTTCTAAGTAAAAAGCAATACCTGACAGCAATATTATTTAGAATTTGGATTGCTAATTTTTATAGACTAAAAATGAAACAGCAGGCTAGAATAAGATCAACTATTGCATGCACTGTAAGTGGTGTAAACTCTACAACTATGAGCATGAGTACATATACATTCTCTAAAAATTTTTACCTCATGCAGACTACCTCCTCACATCATATGACAGTATGAACTCCGAGTTTTCAAAGTAATATCATGCTTTAAATTGTAATAATCCTTGAAAAGACTTTAGTCAAGTAACTCACGGTGGTCACACGCCAACGGCACCAAGTTTTTTTTTTTGCATTTACCTTGTTAAGTGGAGTAGTTTGCTAGCCTGCAATGAATCTTGTGGTTAGACTGTGTCACATATATCACTCTGGGGATCATCCTACCATAAAACTCATTTACCATTCCTAGGGCTCATGTAATCCTCTCCCATACACTGGACTTTTAAAAACAAATTGTTTGATGCAATATTACTCAGTAGACAGAGTACCTCAGACTTGTTACTCAATGCGTATTAAGTGATATAATACATATTTATATGATCCATGCTCCTCTGAACTGCTGGAATGTAAACAGACATGTCCCCTTTATACCTGCTAGAAAAACTAATCACACCTGTGAGAATTCTATTGTTTTGTAGACAAGAGTTGACCCCATGTTTTATCCGATGTTCTTCCTTCCTTCTGTTTTGGAGTAAATTGACTGACTGTTGACCACCAGTATCCCCTTTCTGTTTATTTTCCTTGTTTGTGGACTTCCACAGCAGTCATATCGGGTTTTCTATTTCATCAAGGAAGCTAAGTTTTTGAGAGTATGCTGTCAAATACTTTGTCAACAACACATCCCCTTTAAATCCCACCATTTATACCAGACGTTGACGTTTTCCAAAATTAATATAACAGGAAAACATTATAAACATCTCGTAATTTATCCCAGCCTAGAAACCACACAAGACAGATTTCTTCATACATGTATTAATCCAAGTTAACATTTCTCAATACTTTGATAATTGAAATAAAATCACCTTTGACCATTGCTGTCAATTTCTTTTAAAGTATGAAGTGGCATATCATAACATTGCCATTATCAAGTTTAATAGCTTCAATCCTGGGGACTAGTACAATCCAAAACACTTCTAATATATCAACAAGTCTTGTGTTTAGTGGACTAGCAAGAAATCGGTGACTCAGGACAATAATTGTCAAAGCTATTGGGACATGGCTAACAAACACCATTATGGTCGATGGAACATCTCTAAATATGGGGTCTTTACGATGTGTTTAGTGATTAACATCGATTGTTTTTAATTGAATGCTCCATTAAGAAGCAGTTGAATTTTACAGTTGATCGGACTTGGTTCAGATCTTGACAATAAAACCTGTCAACACTGCCACAAGAAATGATTAACAGGTTTCACCAGTCATGACAAAGCTACAACATTATAAACAAACTTATTTTTTAATTTTGCAATAAATTACTGCATATTATCAATGCCATCTGATTATTGTAACCTCTAAATATCATAAACAACTTACAAATAATCTCTTCCGATAGTTTTTATTAATGGCCATATTCTATGTCAATAAGACACTTGTGTCAACATGGAATAAAATGTAAACAACAAAACAATATATATTGAGTAAATAATTGAATAAACTCATAAAAAATTGGCTCTGGTTGTAATCATGAAATTATGTTCCAATAGAGTCAGTGTGTTTGACATAAACAAATGAGACACAGGTTATTTCTGGTAAAAGCCTTACAAGAGTTATCTCCCATAAGCTCTGCTAAACTATTACAAACAGTAGCACTAGTTAAAAAGAATAATAATAAAGAATCTGAAAGGGTCTTGGATACATGAGGCAGTAAGCTCTTACAAATTTTTGCACAAAATAAAAGAAATATGTATCAATTAAAAAAAAATATTTTAAAAAATACTAATTTGTATGTGTCTGGCTTAGGTAAGCCTTTGCCTATTAAAATCTTTTGTGTAAGACATATATATACATTTAAGTTATTATAAACAACATTATACTATTACAGCAATTTTACAATAAAATATATCACTAAATAAATAGTTAACGAGATTTTTTTACTTGCTTTTGATCTTCTGCTTCTTTACCCAATGCAGTTAAAATAAAAATAAATGTAATTACCCTGACATTATAAAAGGAAAAAAAAAACACTACCAGCATACAGAAACTTATTGGGTATGGTAAATATTCAGACATATACTTTTGTTTCATTTGTAGATTATAAATAGATTACAAGGTCATTTTATCATTTCAAGGATATAAAAAATGCATGCAAAGTAAATGTAGAAATTGGTTTTACTCAGATTTGAGTAAAAACTGAACACAACTTTTGAAAAATAACAATTAACAAACATCCAGTGGATAAATCCTCATCATGCATTACAGAAAAAGTTAAAATTAACTGAAATGAAACAGGGACCCATCATCCTCAGGTAGCATGGGATGGAGGATTCATACGGTACCAGCTGAGGAATTCTGGGTAAAATCGCATTTGAACTCACTGGCAGTGCTGTGCTCAAGGTCGAGAGAAATCGTCTGAAAGATAAATATACATATCCTATACATATAAACAAATACTGGGATTAATTCACAAAGAGTTCTTTAAAAGGATATCCAACAATTTTCTAAAAAATAAAAATCACACATTAATTTATTTTGATATCTTTAAGCATACCATTCTCAGCCGCCTTTTTTTTTTTAAATTAAGATGTAACATTGATAAACAAAACAAAAAAGATTTTTAAAAATGGAAGATTAAAAATTAAGAACTATAGACCAATTAAAAAGACTATCTCTACAGACTGAAGCTTTTGCAGTGTTGCTATCAAACAAATGATGAAAATAAAAGTCACAGTTAAAGCAAAGTTAGCATACAAGCACATCAAGCTCCCCATCAAAAATTCATTAAACCTACATAACATTTATATAATTAAGCCTAGATGCCAAGTGTTTCATTATTATTTCCATCTTTCCTTGCTATTACTCGGTTTTCACAAGAAAATGTTATTTTTATAGTGTTGATTTGACTGCATTGGGACATTAAATCTCATTTGTCTGTTTGCCTGTCAGTCTATTTGTCTGTCACAAAACTTAAACCTTGGTCATATCTTTTGAATGAGAAGAGATAGGACTTTCATATTACATATGTGTATTACCTGTGACAAGAACTTTCTAAATACACATAATTTTTGACCATGTGACCCTGACTTTTAAGTTCTACCTACTTTTCACAAAAATTTAAACATCACTTTAAATTGGCCATAACTTTTGAATGAGAAGAGATAGGGCTGTACCATTTCACAGGTATATTAACTGTGACAAGACCTTTCAAAATATGCTATTTTGCCCCTATGACCTTGAATCTTGATGTTTGAACTACTTTTCAAAACTGTTTTTTTCCCCTTATAACTTTTGATTGAGAAGAGATAAGGCTTTCATATTTGACATCTACATTACCTGTGACAAGATATTTCCAAGCATGCTATGATTTCTGACCCCTTGACCATCATGTCTGACATGATTTTCACAAAAATAAAATCAACTTTGGTGATAACTTTCTTTTGAATGATATATGATAGGGCATTCATATTTCCATAAATAATGACATCTCACCCACAAAGATACTGAAGGCCAGGGCCACAATTTCTTGAATTTGCGTGTTTTCCCTTTAGAAAAATAATGAGAACTAAGAAATTTTAACACCAGCAAACCATGCTAGATCAAGCTGAATCAAGAGGAAACCCAGATTTTTCTTTCAAGAAATTACTTGCCCAGTTATAATAGATGATAAAAGTGGGAAATGATTAAAATGTCAATAAAAAAAGTAAAATTTATTGACAAAATATAATGTTACTATAATTATAAAATGCTAAAATTATTGTGCAAATTAAATCAACACACTTTTGAATATTTTGGTGCCAGTATACATTATCAAACACATCAGATGTATATTTCTATGAACAGAGTAAGTCATATGTTAGATTTCTCACAGTGCATGATCCACTATTTATAGAATGTGTATTACATGTATACAGTAGAGTACATTTATAATCAAAGAGCATCTCTTACAGATATATCCGAGTACTACCTATATCAAATTTCCTCCTCCTGAAATAGAATGGGCACATTCTAAAGTACAGTGAAGGTTTTATATATATATTCCCAAATGGTATAAAAAGGAAAAATATTCCAAGAAATGTATTGATCATCCTACACAGTTTTATTAGAAAAAAATTCTCATGCTACCCATAAAATCCACAGTTGATAGATTAACAAAATAAATGGAAAGGCATTAGCTACAACTCAAAAAGCATTAAAAGAAAATAAATGTTTTCTAGTATGTGGAAAAAGCCATTTTCCTGGTTATGAGCCACTGCAAAATTGCTTATTTGAATTGGTTGAATAAGCTTACCAAAAAGTTCTCTCCCCTTTTGATCACCAAGACGATTGGCCCAGCTTTGAGGCTCCTGAAGGATTGGTAAGCATCTAGGAGGGAGAGGCCCTGAAGGGGTTTTCCATTCACTTCAACTATTTGATCACTCCTCCTGAAATCCAATCAATTTAAAGCTTGTCATTTATTTAGTTTATTCAAAATATCTCCAGTCAAGTCTGACTAAAAAAAGATGACCATAACTTTCCTTTTCTACTAAAACTACCTCAATTCTTAATAACCATAGTGACTGTGTTTATCATTATATACAAATAAATAGCAATTTTTCAACATCTATTTATTTGTATGCATTATAATGAGATAAATGACCTTACTGTCAATAGTCTCACCTAAGTCTCCCATCCTTATCTGCTGGTGAACTGTTATAAATATCCTGTATAAATATCTGGCTCACCCCCTTACAATCTTTTCTAATCAAAGATATTCCAAGTCCTATCCCATTCTCTGGAAATGAAAGAAATCCAATAAGGATCTAATTCTATAGACTTAATGCTGACATTTTTTTTTTTAAATTCACTTTTCATAATTAAGCCATAATTTTAAAGTTATTAAATTTAAATACCGTAAATCTGGAAATTTTTACGTCGATTTTATTTTGCGAATTCGGGTCAAAATGGTGTTGATTAATTTTTACGTTTCAAAATTTTGCGAATTACCACTGTTTTGTTTACATTTTCTTATTGGTAATTTATTTTTAAGAAAAATATTTTTGCGAATGCAATGAACTCGCAAATTTGCTAAAAATTTATCTACAGCAAAAATTTCCAGATTTACGGTAAACATATTTTGAAATACGTGCAAATTTGGTCAATTCATGTCTCTTTTATTTTTGATATACAAAATTAAACCTACTGTGCAGGATAATATTTATACATGTACAGAAGACAAAAAAGAAGCAAAACTGGAAGTACTGTGAGCAATAAGCTCACTAAATGATACCCCCCTCCTCCCATATTAAAATAATGGCAGTGTCCATGTTTTGCTATGGGAAATCCAAAATATGTGTCAACTCAAAAAGTAAAACAGGAGGTGCACAATGGCATTATGTAATAAAGATTCTCTGAAAGTTTCATCAAATTTCATTCAGTGGTATTAAGAGGATTTGCGGATAAGAGATGATTACCCAAAAGCATAACAGAAAGACTTATGGATGCACAGACAGATGGACATCCCAATTACTTTATACCCTCTGGCTTTCCGAGCCGGGGGTATAATGACATAAGAGGATTAATTGGTGAAGAAATTCAATAAAATTTCACTGCCCAGGCAAAGATGGTTCTTTTTCTAAAAATTTAGAAACTGGTTCCCTAACCTTTGTGAAGTAGAATCTCTTGCAGAGAACCGTCTTCGGTTTGACCAGTAACGCCATCTTGATCATTCACCGACCTAGGCATTCTCTCCTCTATTGAATCACTGAGTCTGTTGTCATAGCTACTGACATCAGAAAAACGTTTTTGTGTTCCCAGAATTTCATCACAGAAAGAAGCAAGGTCATCAAAACTTGGGGAGGGGGAGTGCCCTGGGGTGGAGACAGGGCTTCCATCTGATGAAAAATCCACAGGTGTGGTTCTGCCAGACTTCAATGATGGACTTTAAAAAAAGATTTGTTGTATTACTGTATATACTCGCCTATAAGTCAGTTGTATTTTTTAAGCTTATTTTAGAAAGATTGACCTTCTCAAATACCAATTTTTTTTTATATCTCGCCTATAACTCATACATAGAGTTTTGGACCAAAGTTTAATTCCCAAAAATCTGACTTATAGGCTAATATTTACATTTGCAAATGTTTTCCTTTATATAACACTACTGAAAGCAAGCGTTTTTATAACTGTATAAATACAGGTACGGGGTCAAGAGGTCATAGATGTGCGTTTGGATAAACGTTCGACGTAATCTCTGTGTGACGTCGTAAAGGGTCGACGCGCGTATAGTGGATTACATACATGCAGTTGGGTTTGAAAAATAACGCATTTCGCACGTTAAAAGTAATAATCAGGCAAATTTAAAATACGAATTAGTCACATGTGTAAATATAAGTAATAAGGTATCATTTTTTGAGTTTTATTGAGATGTAAATCGGGTTGGTCACGTGATCAAATCCCATAAAGCCCGAAGGGCTTTATGGAAGATTTGATCATGATACCTTATTTCTTAAGTATATACAGTACATTTGGGCAATTCAAATTCATTTAATGAAAAATTTAATAAGAAAGGATTCTGTGAATATAGTGACAAAAAATCATTATACAATCAATTCAAACAGTATTTCTTACAAATGTTTCTGTGAAACAAAGATGCCCTTATATGGTAGACCAAGGCCAAGATTACAGTTTTTCAGTGGTAGGTCAATTAAATTCCAATGTCAAGTGGTCAAAAATAAAATCAAACTCAAGGATGAAGAGGTCAAAGTGTTGGTACCCAAAGTTAAGTTGTGTCACCAAGAATACACATGAAATGTGAAAGCCCTGGAACTAACCATTCAGACTGATTGTATATTGTTTCTCCCATTGGAGAATTTTTCACTCATGCAGAGACGTCATCCTATGCCGGTGAAGGGCTTTAAATTTAGACCTATACTTGGCACTCAGGCCCATTGAGCAGAGAGGGTTCTTTATCATGCCAATGCCTACCGCGACACAGGACCTACGTTTTTAAGGTCATATCCGAAAGACCTGTGACTTTCACCTCTAGTGCCAAGCGCTTGGCGAAGGAACAGTCACTACCTATGTTTACGTCTTAGGTTTGACGCACCGCTGTGATCAAGAATTGAACCCGGGCCTCCCAATCATGAAGTGAATGCTCTACCACTAGACTACCATGACCATGCAGTTTAACCATTCAGAAATTATGATCAAGATATATGTTTTTAAAAAGTATGTCATACTCTAAGGTCAAGGATAAGAGGTAAACAAATTGAAGTCTGAAGAAAGAAAGATCTTGACAAAAAAGGGTTCTGAATCAGGTTTAAAATATAAAAACTCCAGCAAAAATCAATAAGATAATATTATGTCAGGTTCAAGTTTTTCAAAAGTAAGTGAAGTAATATATAAATATTGCATGTAGTTGAGTGTGACATTGAAAATTTTCACCCCAAGAAAACCATTGTCAACCGAGGCGCAGCCGAGGTTGACAATGGTTTCCCAGGGGTGCTTATCATTGTTACACTCAACTACATGCAATATTTATTATATTATACTGAATGTTTTATACAAATACATATAACAGTGAACCGTGCGCGCATACATTCTGCGCAGTCGCTATTTTTTGGAATACCACCCGTCGTCAAGCAATGTTGACTGTTGCTACGCAGGAGGGCGTGGCTTCATTATTCAGCGGGTAATAGTGATTGTTATCAAATGTTTCATGACGAATCAGATTCAAGTAATTTACATGAAAGTATAATATAATATATTGTTACAAGAGGAACGTCATGTCACAAGGAATATACAGATGAAATATAACAGCTATAGCATGAAAAACCATTCAAAAGTTATAGACAAGGTTTATGTTTTTCAAGGTCATTTTGATCTGAGATCCTAGTTTATAAATCTAAATTAAGACTTTCTGGATTATATTGACATACCTAGATGCACGAGACCTTGACCTTCTACAGAAGGTGATAGATACAGGACCCTTTTTGAGTTGTCGGAATTTCTGTATGGCCTCTTTATGAGAAAGGCCTCTCATTGGCTGGTCGTTGACCTTCAATATCTCATCTCCTATAAGCAGATCAGATGCTATCAGTCTAACAAAGTCCTTATGTAAATGACATGTGACAATATCGATCAAACAGCTGTTACTGTCGTCAGATCAGTTTCATTATATCTAAATAAAGATCCATACTTCATACAAACAGAGGACAAACTTGATTGTAAACAGTGATTACATGAGTAGAGGTGATTCAATGATCTAAAATGTTTGTCTCTTCAGCGATCTCAAATTCTGAAGTGTTTATAAGAATAATGATATTTTAAAACAAGGAAAATAAGGAGATTGATAAATAAAATAAATAAAAAAATAAACTGATATACAAAATCTATTATCTATATAGGTATAAGACCAAACAAACAATATACAAAAACAAACCAATTAACCCCCCACCCCCAAAATTTGACCTGAACTGGTACTGTTACTTGTGATCAGTCAAGATGCTCAATAGCACAAAGAGGTAAATATTCCCTTTACCTTCTTTGATGCTTCCTTCCTCTGCTACAAGTCCATGAGGTAGAATTCTTCTGACATAGATTCCTAGACTTCCCCTCTCAGAGTCACTGCCCCCTACAATTGTAAACCCTAGCCCCTTTCCTCGGGCCCCCTTGTGGATGGTGACAGTCTGGAAGAGTTCACTAGAACTATCTTCTGTTTTCACTTTGTCTGTATGGTCCAGAGGTAGATCAAACCTCTGAAAGGACAAAATTAGATGATATTATTATAGAACTATGACAAAATTTTACATATGAAACTATATGACATCATTAGATATCAAACTATGACAACATTATATAGATCTTAAACTATGACAACATTATAGATATCAAACTATGACAACATTATAGATATCAAACTATGACAACATATTATATAGATCTTAAACTATGACAACATTATAGATATCAAACTATGACAACATATTATATAGATCTTAAACTATGACAACATTATAGATATCAAACTATGACTACATATTAGATGATATCAAACTGTGACAAAATTTAATGATACCAAACTAAGATAAAATTTAATGATATCAAACTATGACAACATTTGATATCAAAATATAACATTGACAGCCCATGCACACAAAAACAAATTAAACTAAATTGTGGTTTTAGGGGAGGAAGGGGTGTTCATTTGGTGGGAGTATAATAAAGTTTGCATCACAGGTGAGTGAATTTCAGTGTGACTCATAAACTAATGACAGTAAAATCAGTGTAAAACAAAATACTGATAAGATCTCCAGCCAGGATCAAGTGTTTTTTTCCCACAGGGTAAAATCATAATATCTACAGATTATCAGGTAATACACCCTAACTAAAAACCAGTCACTGCTCAAGGGTACTACATAAAGTTATCTTCAATACAACCGTTTATTTTTGTCATGCTGGGTATTTCCAAGTCAGACATTTTTTTTAATCCCTATTGAAGTATGATATCGTAGTAGACAAAAAACAAACAAAATATCAAAATATGTTTTATAGTATGTCAATCTAATTGATATTATGTATATTATATTATATATCAATGTAAAAGCACAAATATTCGTGGGGGATTAAATTTCTTTTATTTGGTTGTTAATAATTATCAATGAGAATCAAATCCCACACAAAATTTTATACGACTACATATTGAATAAGATTATTTTCAAAAAACAGAATTAAATGCCCATGAAACTCAATTTTTGATGAATCAACAAAATTTTTTCCCACAAAAATTTGTGCTTCAACAGTATTTGTTTGTAACCCTTTAATACACTGTTTCAAGATTTTAAAAGTATAAAGCTTGTTTTATTTCAAGTTTTATTTCTAACCCCTTACACAGTTTAGTTTTAGTATATACTTGTTCTATTTCAAGTGAATTTACATATGTAAGCTTATAGCTTCCGCATGGTGACACATTAACCAAATATTTTTCACGTACCGGTACATTTTTATGTATTCTTAAAATATAGGATGTATTATGAACTTCCTGTTGTATTTATCTTTTAAGGAAAAGGAAATATCATGATAGTTTAAAACCAGAAGTCTCTGTTGAGACTGTAGCTCTACTGGTTTGTGCTTATAACAAAGGATGAGAAAAGAAGCCATTGCTATTAGACCAAAACTGTAGAAGGAGTAGCGTTTTAAAGGAATTTTACACATTTCTATTTTTAGTAACAATGGCAACAATGTTCATCAAAATCAAAAACCGATGAAGTACTCTATATATCTTAGAGTAGTCTACTTGTGTGCCAAGTTATATTGCAATCAGATCAAAACTGTAGGAGGAGTAGCGTTTTAAAGGAATTTCACAGGAAATTCTTTTTTTAGTAACCATGGCAACACCGTTCATCAAAATCAAAATCTGATGCACTATACAATGTATAATAGTGTAGACTACTTGTGTGCCAAGTTATATTGAAATCAGATCAAAATTATAGGAGGAGTAGAGTTTTAAAGGAATTCCACAGAAAATTCTATTTTTATTAACCATGACAACACCATTCATCGAAATCAAAAACCGATGCACTATTTTATGTATCTTTGTGTAGTCTACTTGTGTGCCAAATTATATTGAAATCAGATCAAAACTGTAGGAGGAGTAGCGTTTTAAAGGAATTTCACAGAAAATTCTATTTTTAGTAACCATGGCAACACCATTCATCGAAATCAAAAACCGATGCACTATTTTATGTATCTTTGTGTAGTCTACTTGTGTGCCAAATTATATTGAAATCAGATCAAAACTGTAGGAGGAGTAGCATTTTAAAGGAATTTCACAGAAAATTCTATTTTTAGTAACCATGGCAACACCGGTCATCGAAATAAAAATCCGATGCACTATTTTATGTATCTTTGTGTAGTCTACTTGTGTGCCAAGTTATATTAAAATCAGACCAAAACTGTAGGAGGAGTAGCGTTTTGAAAAATTGTTTACAGACAGACGGACAGACAGACGGACGACGGACGCATTACTATCGCATAAGCTCTTCTGGTCTCTGACCAGTAGAGCTAAAAACTGCAAAAAATATATAGTCATACATTACATATTTTTTGTATTTGGATTTTTATTCTTTGAAAATGTGTTTTTGTTGATGGGTTGGGAATTATCAAATCGCACCGGATTAAATGTATTAGGTTATATAATTTTTTTTTTTTTAACTTTTCTTTGGGCAAATACAATAAAGTGATCTTACAATTACCTGGGTACTTCTAATAAAAAACACCAGTCAAATTTTTCAAGTCAACAATTCTAAAAAAGCAATAAACCTGCATTAAGTCCTCCCAGTTGAACACTGTTCCACTTGGTGTCTGAGCAGTGACTTCTGGGATAGATAGGTCAGGGGTCACGACCTCTGATGGAAGCTGCTGGGAAGTAGGAATGGAACAAAGGCTTGGAACAGAAGAGGATCCTGTAGATGCCACAGATGAGGACTTCTGTACCTAAAACCAAGTTTGAACTTTTAACTTATTTTCACGTAGACTTGTAACGCAATAGTCTGAAAATATTTGTGCCTAATATCTTTGGAAATTGTACCTAAAACCAAGTTTGAACTTAAAGCTTATTATATCAATTAGAGTAATCGGTATGTCCTTCTGTCTGTCTGTTACGCTTTGGGGTACCCATCTTTTATCCGCAACTCCTCTTATACCACTGAGTGAAATTCAGTGAAACTTTCACAGAATCTTTATTACATATTGCCATTGTGCACCTCCTATTTTACTTTTTGATCTGACACATATTTTGGGTTTCCGGCCACAGCAAAACATGGATTTTGCCATTATGACCATATGGGAGGCGGGGGTATCATTTAGTGAGCTCATTGCTCACAATACCTCTAGTTTTTTTTTTTTCATGTAGACATGTAACTCAATAGTCTGAAAATATTTGTGCCTAATATCTTTGAAAATTGTACCTAAAACCAAGTTTGAACTTAAGCAATTTCTGTGCAATTCCAAGGTGTAAATTGATGATGATTACATTTACTTATTGGCACACTACAGTTATATTTATATTAACTATTTATTACTTGGCAGAAAGAGCTACAGTAAATTGATGGGTAATCAAGCAATGGAAAAAATCATCTACTATTCACTCTTCCAAGTGGTATACATACATTTTTTTTTCAGTTGCTATCAGTACTGACCTTGGAGGCGACTACGACCTGTACAAGTTTTGGTGAATTTCTGAGGACGTCCACCGCCTCACAGTGAGAGAGTCCAATCAAACTCTTTCCATTTATCATCAGCAATTCATCCCCACGCTTCAATCGTCCATCTCTGTATTGATCATAATTTATAAATAATCATAATTTATAAATATATCAATATTTCTATTTCAATTTTATTGTTATTGCTTTATCAAAGTAGAAAATTCTAAAATGATACATGGAGTCAAAAATCGCAACCATTCAAAGGTGTATATGTGATTACACTGTAGACTGTTGCAAGTTGCTTATGATTTTAAAAAATTGTAGTCTTGTTCTTGCTGAAGTCTATCAACTTTTTACTCTACTCTTAATTTTCTCCACTGAATCCCCATCAGGGCAATGACCATGAAGATAGAGTAAAAATTAACAATCTGAAGAAAATTACTTCTTTCTAATATGTATTCCTACGTATAAAAAAATCGGACCCCTATTATGCCTTACTCTAACCCCATTCCATCCTCAAGGCCTTTTGGGGTTAACAGACTATGCGATCGATCAAACTTTAAATTAATTTACACTAGTACAAGGGGATGCTTAATCTCAATTGATTAAAGTATTGGGTAGTTTTCTTAAAAAGACAATTTAAAATACATAATCTCTTAAAGAAATTTTTATGAAAATGTTGACCCTCTAACTAATCGTCCCACTCTTTAAGTACCAAGTACTAATATATTGATTAAAAGTTATGTCTAGCTATTGCATTTTTTTGGTCCAATGTTTCTAGAGAAAACTTTTTATGACCTTATAGGTTATCAACTATTTCTTGATCATCTTTATGTAAGTGGTGCCCATCTTCCACAAAAACTGAATTCTTTTTACTCAAAGACTTTATATATCAAGATTTGTTGAGATTGAACCAATCAATATGGAAAAGGAGGAAAAGAAAACAATGTACATCTTCGCTAGCCAAGGGTTTTCGGTCCGCACCTTAATGGGGAGCGGTGCGAACTGAAAACCTTTGGCTAGCGAAGATGAACAATGTACAGATGACACCAACAGCTAGACAGACAGATGCCAGTCTTTTGATCAGAAAGCTAATTTTTGTTTCTGGTTCAGGTGCGCTTACATTAATCTGTGAGCTATCTGAGTACAATTCAAGCAAAACTAGAAAACTGACCAGTCAGCAAGGGCCCCGCCATGGGGTAGAATTAATAGGGTGCAGCTTACGGAATGATAAAAAAATGTACGAAGAATAAGCAACAGCAACTGTATTCTTAAAATTTCAAGATAATTCCTGAATATTCAAGAACCTGAAAATAATATCCTTGTATTTACATTAGGCAGTAAAGAACAACTTAACATTGAATGTATATTTAAACAATTATCATGATTATGAAGCATGTGTTATATAAAATGCCAGCCTTCAATGAATGCAATTATCATGAAGGCTTGACCTTAACTTCAAACAAACAGCAGTTGCAGACAAGGGGTTTCATTAATCTTAAAGTGACAGATAAAGATAAGCCTACTAAATTTTCTGCAGCAGGCTAGATAATTAATCCCAAGGGATTAATTGTACCTCTCTCATCATTTTCTTCTTAAGTTACAATAAGAACTTTTTCAGTATTAATGATAAAATGGTGTTTTTATACAACTATCCTAAAAATTAATAATATTCTTGAATTAACATAAAGTGAAAAAAGTAAATCAAAAAATCTTCTTTAATCTATTTCTTGTTATTAAAATTCAAAGAAATCATAACTTTTAAACAAAAATAAATTATAAATATTCATATTTAAATCCACATTTCAGAGTGTTCATAGCATTTCAAATTGACTTAACTTCAAAACAAACTTCATTTGCAGACAGAGGTGGTAATTCATCTCAATTTGACAGATAAAGATAATGCTCTGGATTTTCTTCAGGAGGAAAGCTAATTAATCCCAAGGGACTCATAGAAGCATTCAGTTTACAATGGCAACATCTTCAGCAGTTATCTCTCTTTGCCACTGCTTTTGTATATAAAGTTAAGGAATCTACCCCACCACTCCAGCTCCAAACCAGGGGACATAGAGAACCAAACTTAGCATAAAAATATGTATTTCTGCCTACTGAACTACCATACCAAATTTGTACTTGATTGGGCAACCATAAAAAAAGTTGCCCATTCATTCTTATGCATAGTTAAGGAATCTACCCCACCACCCCAGCTCCAAACCAGAAGACATAGAGAAGCAAACTTAGCATCAAAATATGTATTTCTGCCTACTGAACTACCATACCAAATTTGAACTTGATTGGGCAACTATAAAAAAAGTTATTAGATAAAAACAGAAAATTTGTGGACGGAAGAGTGACAGACGGACAGACAGACAGACAGACAGACGGACGGACAGACAGAGTGATTACTATAGGGCACCCGCAAATCCTTGTGGGGCCCTAATAATTCATTTTTCTCTGTTTAAATAAAGCCAAGCAAGTATTTTGTAAAACTGAAGCTTCTTGAACAGTGAAACAGATGCAGTAATTATAAGGAGCTAGTCTGTGTGGCTGTTGGCATTGTAAGACTTCTCATTTAAGGACACAGAGCTGATTAGAAATGTCTTGATGAATAAAAACCAGCTTCTGGTTAACCCATTGATAGGCCCTGTCAAACTGCGGATGTATGGAAAATGTCTTCTTCAACAAGACCTTTTGTGCTTCAAATACTTTTTTCTTTCAATTATCTCAGCAGAAACAATTCAACAAATAGAAAAATCTCACATGACAGGAAAAACCTTGTCTGAACTCAAAAGATGTTGTCATCACTATATCTGGCATAAGCTATTAGCATCTATCACAATACATTCCCTTGTCTTAAAAAACATGCCTGCACACCCGTGAAAAAAATTACATTTGATTAATTTTTTTATCTGACTTTTTTCTTCTAAATCTAACAAGAGCCTTCCATCTATAATTTTGTCGAGTATATCGCTAATTTAAATTTTCTCAAGGAAGAGCCATGCAGCTTCAGATTAGAGTAAAGGGAACTTATGTTTGCAACCATGAGAATGCTAAAATCATATCCTGTCTTTCAACAATGATACCTACATGTGCAATAAGGAATGACAGAAAAAAAAGTTTTAAAATGCATGACACAGCATGGCATAACTTTGGCATTTTTGGCATATTAAATTGAGCAGTTACGTCTGGTTTTATTGTAAAACAAGAGGCCCACGGGCCTTATAGGTCACTTGAGTATCATGTAACAACTTTCCAACAATTGAATTTGGTTCGTGTTTTAAACCAGAGGCCATGAAATTCACAATTTTGAAAGAGGCACCATTGCTTGTCAAAATTATAAACTTAGCATGCTTACTCTATTTACTTAATACCCAGAGGTAGATCAGAGTAACAAAGAGAAAATGCATTTCCACTTTTATATAACCAATTGTGTACCCCATCTAAAGGAAGCACTGACCCTGGAGTCACATATTTCAAAATTTTGGAAATTTTATCTTAGATTTTATTTCATCATAAATGGTTGATGAATACCAAAGAGCAGATTTCAAAGCATTAATTTATTTTCAGACTATGTAACCTCCCCCCCCCCCCCCAACGATACCCGTGACCCAGGGGGCATGTAATTAACCATTTTGCTAGATGCACCTTTCTTCCTCATAAATATATATACTTGGATCATAAGCATAATACCCAGGAGCAAAGGACAAGATTTTCAAAGAATTTTTCACTACATAATCAAAAGAGCCCCCCCCCTCCTTACACTGAATGACAAAAGCCCTGACACAGGGGCCATGAAATTCACACATTTGGTTGAGGCATTATAACTTTATACTAAATTAGTTTATTTAATACCCAGAAGCAGAGGAGGAGATTTTGAAAGAATTCATGCATTTTCACTGTATAATCAATAGAGCCCTGCCCTAACACCAGAACCCCTGACCCTGGGGCCATAAAATTCACAATTTTGGTAGAGGCACTCTTGCTCATCATAACTATGTACTTAGATAGTTTATTTAATACCCAGGAGCAGAGAAGAAGATTTTCAAATGCATTTTCACTATATAATCAATAGAGCCCCGCCCTAACACCAGAACCCCTGACCCTGGGGCCATAAAATTCACAATTTTTGTAGTGTCACTCTGACTCATCATAACTATGTACTTGGTTAGTTTATTTAATACCCAGGAGCAAAGGAGAAGTTTTTGAAAGAATTCATGCATTTTCACTGTATAATCAATAGAGCCCTGCCCTAACACCAGAACCCTGACCCTGGGGCCTTAAAATTCACAATTTTTGAAGAGGAACTCTTACTCATCATAACTATGTACTTCGTTACTTTATTTAATACCCAGGAGCAGAGAAGAAGATTTTTAAAGAAACTAGAAAACTGACCAGTCAGCAAGGGCCCCGCCATGGGGTAGAATAAAAAGGGTGCAGCTTACAGAATGATTAATAAATGTACAAAGAAAAAGCAACAGCAACTGTATTCTTAAAATTTCAACATAATTCCTGAATATTCAAAAACCTGAAAATAATATTCTTGTATTTACATTAGGCAGTAAAGAACAACTTAACATTGAATTTATATTTAAACAATTGTGAATCTTGTGTTATATGAAATTTTTTTTAATGCCATCCTTCAATGAATGCAAATATCATGAAGGCTTGACCTTAACTTCAAACAAACAGCAGTTGCAGACAAAGGTTTTCATTAATCTTAAAGTGACAGATAAAGAGAAGCCTACTAAATTTTCTGCAGCAGGCTAGATAATTAATCCCAAGGGATTAATTGTACCTCTCTCATCATTTTCTTCTAAAGTTACAATAAGAACTTTTTCAGTATTAATGATAGAATGGGGTTTTTATACAACTACATTAAAAATTAAAAACATTCTTGAATTAATATATTTTTAAAAAAAAGGAAAAAAGTGAAAAAAAAGTACCCTGGTAAAACAAAAAATTTTCTTTAATCTATTTCTTTTTTTAGGATTCAATGAAATCATAACTATCAAACAAAAATAAATAATAAAAATTTATATTTAAATCCACATTTCAGAGTGTTCATAGCATTCCAAATTGATTTAACTTCAAAACAAACTTCATTTGCAGACAGAGGTGGTAATTAATCTCAAAGTGACAGATAAAGATAATGCTCTGGATTTTCTTCAGGAGGAAAGCTAATTAATCTCATGGGACTCCTAGTAGCATTCAGTTTACTGAATGGGAACATCTTCAGCAGTTATCTCTCTTTGCCACTGCATTCTTATATAAAGTTAAGGAATCTACCCCACCACCCCAGCTCCAAACCAAGGGACATAGAGAACCAAACTTAGCATCAAAATATGTATTTCTGCCTACTGAACTACCGTACCAAATTTGATCTTAATTGGGCAACCATAAAAAAAGTTGCCCGTTCATTCTTATGCATAGTTAAGGAATCTACCCCACCACCCCAGCTCCAAACTAGAAGACATAGAGAATCAAACTTAGCATCAAAATATGTATTTCTGCCTATTAAACTACCATACCAAATTTAAACTTGATTGGGCAACCATAAAAAAAGTTATTAGAAAAAAACAGAAAATTTGTGGACGGAAGAGTGACAGACGGACAGACAGACAGACAGACAGATGGACGGACAGACAGAGTGATTACTATAGGGCACCCGCAAATCCTTGCGGGGCCCTAATAATGCATTTTCACGATATAGTCAATAGAGCCCCGCCCTAGAACTAGAATCCCTGACCCTGGGGCCATGAATTTAACAATTTTGGTGGAGGACTCAATGATTATTACATTCATGCTAACAGTTTGACTGCTTGGTGTCCAGGAGTAAAGAAGAAGATTTTTAAAGATTGCACTAATTTTAGTGGTTTTGGCCCCACCCCTCAGGCCCCAGGGGGCAGGGACCATGAAATTCAAAATTTTTGTTCCCCTTCACCCATAGATGCTTTATGCCAAATTTGGTGGAAATTGGTTGAGTGGTTGCAGAGAAGAAGCTGAAAATGTTCAAATGTTAACACACTACGAACGACGCACGACGGACGAAAACGGATAGCAATAGGTCACCTGAGTTTACTCATGTGACCTAAAAATAGAATCCTACTTCTTTATGAGATCTTTATTTTGACATGTAATTAATGTTGAAGGTATATAAATAGGAAAATGTCATTTTCACATGAGATTTTATAAGTAATAATATTATTTACAACCACTAGAATAAGTAGAAGTGATGTACCGCTTAGGTACATCGAATTTTAATACCACGAAAATGTGTTGCAAAATTAACCTGACCCACCCTCTAAACAACAACTTTTGTCAATCTGTTCATGCTGTTAGAATATTCTTCTTGCATTTTTATTTATATTCCTTGCTCTATCTGTGAGTGTTGTAATGTTTAAGGAATACCTGTCTTATTTTGTGATTTCTTGATTTGATCAACGATTGGCTTGCGTGATAATTTGCATAAACGCCGGATGGGGTTTATGCATAAAATCATCACGCAAGCCAATCGATTGATCATTATCATGAAATCGAAAAATCTGACAGTTATTTCTTATATTTACATGGTATTGATTCCACCAATCCACGTGCTAGAAGCCCTGCTTCTTGTCTCTATTAAGTTGTCCTGCCCTGCACATGATTTTTTTTAACCGAGCCTATCGATGAACCAGTACATTGATGGAGAAATAAAGTACATTGACTGTTTGTAATTTTATCTCGAACAAAGACATTGGAAATGTAAATATTGTGGAATAAAACATGTGAGTATATTTTAGTACACACATAAATGTATACTTGGAATATTAATTAATCTGGGTCATGGGACAATCCCTCACATCTGTTAGAATGTCCTATATATTTCTAATGTAGCAAAGAGGGGCAGACTAACTCCCTCACAATTCTTAAGAATACAAATGAAGTTGCTTTTGAATTGAGATTGATGACTAAGATCAGAGTTATCTGCCCTTGATTACTGTACTACAATAGCAATACATGGAACAAAGTCTAACCAGTTCAGTATTAGTATTTAACTGACAGATTGTTGTACCTGAATGCTGCCCCACCCTCTGTGATCCCTGCCACAAAGATCCCTATGTCTCCTTTCTTGGATCCCCTCCCTCCGGCAATGTGAATTCCTAGTCCATTCTCATCTTTCAGCAAATGCAGTTTTGTAACAATCCGTTTCTGAATCAATGACATTTAAAATTATATGCACAAATAATATAAACTTTCAATACATGTCCCAGGTATTTAATGTCTCTCTATTACATTAAAAGAAGAGGTAGTTCAATTCTTCAAGAAACTAAAGGTTTTCTTTTTAGTTATTTCAATCATTATAATATTGCTAAAAGCTACGGAAATTCCATTGCCATGCCTATTTTTCAAATTTTTCCTGTTAATTATTAGTTTGAACAGATAACTAACAAAACAACCGACAGCCATTAATCAACCTTTTAGTCACACTAGTTATGACCACAATGGGAGTTTCCTGCTTTTTTTGTTTCTCTCTAGTTGACTTTGAACCTGTGACCTTGTGTTCTTTACATTGGGGCAATGTTACACATTCTCCAAAAATAACATATTTTTAATTACATATAGTACTTTATACCATTGGACTGGATAAGAAAACTTTATGTCAATGGTGTTTTAAAGTTATATTTTGAAGAACTTCTCGCCTAATCAGAGGGGATTAAATTTAGAGCTTCATTTAAACAGACATAAATAGTCTATTTTGGACACCAGTGTCCGTCACCAGCCCTATTTTTACCTTAGGGACGTAGCTGCTGCCTCCACTGTCTGAGCTGTAACAGGAGGTGGGGGTCTGGGTACCACCCCGGTCCTGGTGGTACCGCCACCCTTTCTTGTTTTTCTTGTACAGATGCTTATTTGTGTTAATGCTGATCAGTTCAGGATCAGAACTGTACATGGTAGTGTCTTGTTCACTTGAATTTTTCAGAGAACCTACTTTTCCCCGTTTTTTGAGAGTCATTTGAGCTGTATTCACAGTGTCCATTACATCTTGTGTCAGGTTTATTGGGACGGTATTCCATTCAACAGTATCTTCTATAAGAGAGGCACTATGAGTCCTATTTTTGTTTCCTAAATTTACATTTACATAGTCTGACTTAGATATCTGAGAACTACTAGATACACATATTGCACTTTCACTCATTTGATGTTGGAACGTTTGTCTTGCGACATTAAGTGAAAGATTGTCAGAATTATCTATGAACACATCGTCTATAGACCCCATGTCATTTCCAAAGCTACCCATGGAATCGAGAGTCAATGAGCTGCCATCATTTCTGTTGCCGAGATACCAGTTGTCATGGCCTCCAGAGTTTCCAGGCAATGAATCAAGGGACTGTGTCATGATGGATTTATTCTCTTTTTCCTGATCTTCTTCAGATTTACTGGGTGTATCCTGACTGGTGGGGGGAGGGGGTGCAGGACGCTTCTTCTTCCTTCGTAGTGTCATGGTGACTTTTCCCGATCTCACTGCGTTTGCCAACAACAACCTGTAGACAGATGATATCAAATTTTATCATTCTAGCACCAAAAATTATTCATTTTCATCAACTGGCTATAAAATCATGACCAAGACTTTCAGACTAAAAACCACTTTGTCCTAAACATGTGTTTATTTCTCATTCAGATTTAAGTGCATTTGTTTCCTTTCAGAAATATCAATAAGGACATTATCTTTATTTCAGAAATAACCCTGCATGAGTTGCCAAGATGTGTGCCAAATTGTAGTGGTAATGCTTTTAACATTGTCATGAACCTTGACCTAAAACCAAGATATACAAAAAAATCTTTATAAAGTTTGCTATCTTTCTTGATGGATACAGATAAAAAGCTACAGAAGACCACATCCAGCAGAGTTTGTTCTCTGATGGTTCAGTTTTTATGTGTTCGGCACCTGTGGTTCAAAATCTGTAATAAGATGTATATAATACCTTTAACAACAACTCTCAAACAAAAATAAAATAAAAATAATAATAAAATAAAATAAAATAAAAGTTGTTTGTACAACTCTCAAACAATAACCCTCGTACCACATATTCTATACAAAAATTCCTACTAATAATTTATCTATCTTTTCCCCTATGAAAAACCAAAATTGACATCTTTCAATGAAAAAGGTAGATTGATTGTATATTGATTTATGTCCCGTTTGAGAACTCACCATATGCCGGTGAAGGGTTTCAAATTTAAACCTTTAAACTCATCACTCATGGCTATTGAGAAGTGAGGGATCTTTATTGTGTCAATGCCTACCATGACAAGGGGCCTCGTTTTTTATATTCAACAGACCCACAACTTTCTTTTTCAATGCGTTAAGGGCTTGGTAGAGGAATAGACTGGAACCCTGACATTGGTTAACAGGCGCAAGCGCCCTGAAAAACTAATTCCTAGTGGCAGCGACTGGAATCAAGGGCAGAGAACCAGTGCTAGGTAGAGGAACAGTTGCTGTGCATTTTTATCAACTTAAGTCAGTCATGGTTTTGATTCGAACACATACCCTCTTTCATAAGCTAACCGTCCTGTACTAGGAAAAGTATGTACTGTTTAATTATGGGCTGAATGCAATAGTTCAAATTGTGTCCATCAGTGTAATTTGAACTCATACAACTTAACTTGTATTTACATTTATACACCCGGTAGTATTATCTAACAGCTATATAGAGTCCTATTCTTTTGAGAGGATTATGTCATATTTTGAAAAATCATCTAATCTCCTAAGTGTAAATTTGCAATAAAAAAGTTCTTACAGAGAATAGTGATGTATGAATTTTAAGTTGGCTGAAGTAATCAAGTAGAGTGCATGGAATTAAATAAATGAACTATTAAAGATTAATAAAATTGGGAAATAAATGTAAAATTCAAGTTCTTACTGAGAAATAACAAAATTACACCCTTTAATAATTGCTCTCTCCCAATAGGTACCACAGTATAAATATATAAGGTTAATTAAAATATCTTGTAAATTTTCTCTCAAACTGAGCTAATTAAACTTAAAACATGCAGATCAGATGGAAGGATGGAAAGAAATAGGGTTCAAAGAATTGGACATGACATATACTAGCTATTATGTTCTGGATATATACATGTTGGGGCACAAAAATATGAAGATAAATATATAAAAATATAGATTTTTTCTGAACTTGATTCTGATCATCATCCCCATCTCTTGGAAATCCACATACTGGTAACCCCATGCAGCCAGGAATGATAAAGGACGTCTATAAATACCCAGCAGTCGACTTATAAAGCAGTTCTTATCTACTGGGCTGATGGATATGAGTCTATATTTTTATCTCCTAAATAAAAATGCAACAACTGTTCTGACCCCCTGGCATTTCAACTAACACAGTTTCCAACTAAAAAATCAAATTAGGCTGGTCATACGTTGCAATTTAAGGCAGAAAACATATAATGTAATACCACATAATTACAATATTTACATTATAATAGAGTTTTGTAAGTTTTCTATTGTGTTTACAATATTTACACGTAAGGTAATGTCTTACACCTGAGTGTATCATATTTCATGTTATTTTTGGTTATAATTTGAAGAGATGAAGGTCTATATCAATTCTACAGCTGTTCAGTTGGAAAGTGAAGTTGGTGTCAAGGTCATTTCCTGTTTTATATTAAACCAGAAAGTGTTTAAAAAACAGTTTTGGGGTTTTTGTTGCTGTTGTTTTTTTTTTCTTAAAAAGAAGATGTACTTATCAACACTTAGCTGCTGGCAGCTGCCCCAGATGTAGACCAGGATTGATCAATACAGGAGGCACATCATTGATTTTAAATTAATATTATTTATTACTGTCAAATCTTCAAAAGTACACAAGTCTGCAGTTTGTGACTCATGATTATAGATTATAATCACCTAGTTATTCATATTTATTAGAGCCATACAATATACCATGCATAGGGCATTTTAACAAGAATTATACAGAGCTAAAATACATAGCCTTATAAAGTAAAAATTCTGAACAGATACTGAATGTTCCTTTTACAGCCATCTGCGCATCAGCTGAATATGTTTAAAATGTGACAGTCACAAATACAGATTTCAAAGCATGTCATAATTTACATTTCCGAGTGTTTCCATGCATATCAGTCTAAAAATAAAGCAAAATGTCACTGAAGTTAAGAGTGAAAAAAGGGAATGATTGTGACTAATTACATTTAATTAAAAGTTAGTTTAAAAAGTATTCATACATTTCAGAATTGGAGAAATAACATGCACTTAATAATAGGACATTTTACCCTTAACTTTATAACATAGTCATTCCTCCCTATAAACTTGTGTGTGTAGTCAGTAATGGGTTCTCTATTCTAGTCTGTGACTTACAGACGCCTGCATGTACCGTACAAAACTAGTCATGAACATCAGAATAAGCAACAGAAACAAAGGGGGTCTTTAAGGCGTGCCCAGTCTCAAATATCATAAAAAGTACATGTGTATGATTAGCATATTTATTTTAAATACATACATGTATATGATCAATTTGACAATTTTTTGAAACATCCTTGAAGTGACTGGTTTATTTTCCTCCCAATACTGATATAATCTTACACTATGGAGATTCCCCTTCCTAGATCAGATCTATAATTATATGACAGTAAAAGAAAAGGGAAGTGAGCACACTTATAATTATGGATAGCTGTTGTCACATTCTCCTCCCTACACTTGATTGTACCCTCAAGGATAAGCAACCATTCCCTCTGTATATCTGACCCTAACTAAAGACTGGCGAATTCCTAAAGAAAAGAGAGTGTCTCCTTTAATCTACCACTTCTAAAGACAAGTGGGTCATTTACCCTCCCAACATCTTACTACTGCTAAAGACAAGTGAGTCCCCCCCCCCCTCGTTTGACCATAGCTAAATACAATGAGTCCCTTCAGTAATCAAATTCTTGAATAAGACAAGTGTGTCCTACATCCTCCCTTCATCTGACCCTAGCTACAAAGATAAGTGCATATCTTCCTTCATCTGACCCTAACTAAAGACAAGTGAGACTCTCCCTTCATCTGACCCTAACTAAAGTCAAGTGACTTCCTCCCTTCATCTGACCCTAACTAAAGTCAAGCGACTTCCTCCCTTCATCTGACCCTAACTACAAAGATAAGTGCATATCTTCCTTCATCTGACCCTAACTAAAGACAAGTGAGACTCTCCCTTCATCTGACCCTAACTAAAGTCAAGTGACTTCCTCCCTTCATCTGACCCTAACTAAAGTCAAGCGACTTCCTCCCTTCATCTGACCCTAACTAAAGTCAAGTGACTTCCTCCCTTCATCTGACCCTAACCAAAGACAAGTGAGTCCCTCCCTTCATTTGACCCTAGCTAAAGACAAGTGACACTCTCCCTTCATCTGACCCTAACTAAAGACAAGTGAGACTCTCCCTTCATCTGACTCTAACTAAAGACAAGTGACACTCTCCCTTCATCTGACCCTAACTAAAGACAAGTGACACTCTCCCTTCATCTGACCCTAACTAAAGACAAGTGAGTCCCTCCCTTCATTTGACCCGAACTAAAGACGTGAGACTCTCCCTTCATCTGACCCTAACTAAAGACAAGTGACACTCTCCCTTCATTTGACCCTAAGTAAAGACAAGTGAGTCCCTCCCTTCATCTGACCCTAGCTAAAGACAAGTGAGTCCCTCCCTTCATCTGATCCTAGCTAAAGACAAGTGAGTCCCTCCCTTCATCTGATCCTAGCTAAAGACAAGTGAGACTCTCCCTTCATTTGACCATAACTAAAGACAAGTGAGTCCCTCCCTTCATTTGACCCTAACTAAAGACAAGTGAGTCCCTCCCTTCATTTGACCCTAACTAAAGATAAATGAGACTCTCCCATCATCTGACCCTAGCTAAAGACAACTGATTCGCATATTCCAGTCTTCTTACATCTGATTTCATCATGAAGACATGTGTCCCATTCCCCTTTCCTCCAAATAATTTTAACCTTATATGGCAGTATGACTACACCTTTTGATTATTTCCTGACCCTCCAGCAGTATACTTCTTACCTGTACTCCTCCGAATCCTCCACAGAACCCCCAAAAAGCCTCTCAAATTTCTCCAAATTACTGGCCATTATTGTCATGTTCTCACCTCACTAAATAAACGCTCAAAATCCAGAAATATTAGAGATGACACAAACCAATCAGGGTTCATTAATGAGACAGAAACACATGATGTGAGGCATGCTAAATACATCCTTGTGTCAAACCTAATATTGCTTCAAATACACCAGAATTAGATTAGAATATTTCAGGGAGGTAAAGCCGTGTACCAAGGAAGAAAATATTCTTCATCTACAGGAACCTTACCTATATTTTATCTGAGGTTCAGCAAAAGCAATATCGATAAACTCCAAGATAAACCTTCAAAGTTGAAAAACAATCTTCTTCCCAGTTTCACACATAGGTAAAGTGATTGCCAAGTCTCGACATCAAAAAAAACTTATGAGCATCAAACAAGCTGGGCTTCACATA